AAGGCGCAACCAATTATGATAATTGGGCTAAGCTTATGCGCAATGCTCTCAAATCCAAGAACAAACTCGGGTTCGTCACAGGATCCGTCGAAGAGCCAGCCAAAACAAATCTTGAATAGTGGAGTGCATGGGAGATGTGTAACTCTATGATTAATGGGTGGATACACAACACCATTGATCCTACGCTTCATCCCTACATCAAATGCTTCGATAACGTTCAACATCTTTGGGAAAATTTAAAGGAACGATATTCGGTTGTTAATGCACCACGCATTTACCAGCTGAAATCGAGCCTTTCCTCTACCAAGCAAAACAGCTGCAGCGTGGGCGAATATTAAACTAAGCTACGAGGTGTTTGGGACGAACTCGTAGGCAGCAAAGTCTATAAGTCATGTGTGTGTGGTGATGCATGTGGTTATGCGAAAGAAATTGATGAAGAACAAGAATCTGATCGAGTTTATCAGTTCTTGATGGGACTTGATGAGGCCATCTTTGGCAATCTACGATCACAGATACTCAACACCACTCCTCTTCCAACGCTAAACAAAATTTATGCGCTGGTCACTCAAGAGGAAACACATCGTTCCTTCGTCCGTAGCCAAAATGAGAAAGCTGATGTTATTGGATGTGCTGCGTAAACAACTCCTCCAACCGCAACGGAAAGACCTTCTGCTCGTCCTGCTTGTCGCCATTGTGGACTGCTCAACCATGACTCTTCACGATGTTGGCAAACTTACGGATTTCCTCCTCGCGGTGGTGGGCGCAGCCGCGGACGTGGTGGCCAGTTTGGTGGCGGCAGAAATAATTACACTTACAATAATTTTTCAGCGAACTCTTTAGGCGCGCATGCTGCTGCGGCAACCACGGACGCACTGCAAGAACTTGTTGCTGCAGCTCTTTCTTCTCTGACACCATACGTTGTCCATGATGTGGTAAAACGTCTTCTCTCCATAGCAGAAAAGCCTCCATCTCCTACGGAAAAATTATCCGGTAATGCTTTCTTTTATAGTTGGCTCATTGATAGTGGTGCATCTCGCCATATGACTAGTACGCTTGAATTAATGGAGGATGTTCACAATATTCCCTCTCTTGTTGTTGGGTTACCTGATGGAACCATAACTTATGCTATAAAGAAAGGAACTGTTGCTCTCAATTCTCATCTTGTATTATCTGATGTTTTGTTTGTACCTAATTTGCGCTGCAATCTTAGATCTGTCTCTCAATTGGTGCAACAATATCACGTGAATGTGATTTTTACTCCTCAAGCTTGTATCTTGCAGGACCGCAACCTGAAGATGGTGACTGGGTTGGGTGAACTTAGAGATGGCGTGTATGTGTTTCAGCAGAAGCCAGTAGTTGCACTTGCTGCTTAATCTCATGAGTCTCCTGAATTATGGCATAAAAGGCTGGGACACGCCTCCTCTGATGCAATTTCCATGATTTCTTCTATTGCAAAGTTTAATTCTGCTACTTTAGACCATAAAGCTCGTGATGTGTGTTTTCGAGCTAAGCAAACTAGAGTTCACTTTCCTGTAAGTGACCATCGCAATAATAATTGTTTTGAACTCCTGCATTGTGATATATGGGGGCCATATCGCACTTCTTCTCATTCTGGTGCGCACTATTTTTTAACAATTGTTGATGATTTTAGTCGATCTGTATGGGTATGCTTGATGATTCACAAGGGTGAAACTTATGAAAAAATGAGAAAGTTTATTTTTATGGTGCATAATCAATTCGGTAAAAGCCTCAAAGTGATTCGTTCTGATAACGGAACTGAATTTTTATCAAAAAAGATGCAAGATTTATTTACCGACAGGGTGATTTTACATCAGACTACTTGTGTGTATACTCCACAGCAAAATGGTCGGGCAGAACGTAAACATCATCATATTTTAAATGTTTCACGGGCTTTAATGTTTCAAGCTAATTTGCCTATTGCTTTTTTGGGGAGACAACGTTCTTACTGCAGCACATTTAATTAATAGAACACCTACAAAATTACTTGGCGGAAAAACTCCACATGAGATCCTTCACGGTAATGCACCTAATTATAATAATTTGCTTGCATTCGAATGTTTATGTTATGCGGCTATGCAGCCTAAGTCGTCAGATAAATTTGGTGCAAGATCAAGGAAATGTGTTTTTGTAGGGTACCCTTACGCATAAAAGGGTTGGAAGGTGTATGACCTTGAGTCAAATGAATTTATTGTGTCACAAGATGTTTATTTCTTTGAAACATATTTTCCATTTTCAGCAAAAACAGAAGCTGCCTCTCTTCCTACACTTCCTCCTATATTGCCTAATTATGAAAACAGGTATATTGATCAGCCACATGCAGAAGCTACTATGGATGTTCCTATTAATGCAGAAAATACAGACGACGCGGCAAATTCAGGAGTACAACAAGTTCACGTAGATTATGCTGCCATTGACGATGCACCTGCGACCATAAACATAAATCTAGCTACTGGTTCGTCGTCTTCATCAGCAACTGTTGATGCTGGGTCTTCATCTTCGCCAGCTTCAGTCGACGTTGGATCCTTGTCTCCACCAGCAGCCATGGTTGCAACACAGGGTGCTCCCCTTCGTCTAGTACGCAATCGAAAGGCTCCACAATATCTTCAACACTATCAATGCAACTCTGCTGAAACACAAAACAAAGTCAAAAGAACACTATATCCCCTTCCATCTCAGGTAAACGGTATCCTATACAAGACTATGTCTCTCTAGCAAAATTCTCTAATCCATATCAAGCTTTTGTAGCAGCAATAGATGCAAGAACTGAACCGCGTTCTTTTAAGGAAGCTATAACTGATCAACGCTGGAAGGCGGCTATGCGCAGTGAAATTTCTACCTTGGAAGCCAACAACACTTGGCGTATTTCTGATTTACCAGTCGGCAAACATGTTTTACCTTGTAAGTGGGTATATAAAATTAAATATCACTCAAATGGCAGCATTGAACGATATAAAGCACGACTTGTTATTGCTGGCAACCGACAAATTCCTGGTGAAGATTTTTCTGAGACTTTCGACCCTGTAGCAAAAATGGTGAGTGTTCGTACTTTTCTAGCTGTTGTCGTTGCCAAAGGTTGGGAGCTTCATCAAATGGATGTTCATAACGATTTCCTCAATGGTGATCTTAATGAGGAAGTCTATATGCGTTTGCCACCAGGATTTAATTCAGAGAATTCACACAAAGTTTGCCGTCTCCAAAAGTCCTTGTATGGCCTGCGACAGTCACCAAGAAACTGGTTTGCAAAATTAAGTTCATCCTTGCAAGCTTATGGTTTTGTTCAATCACATGCTGACTATACTTTGTTCACTCTTAAGAGGGGTCACATTTTTCTTGCCCTACTCGTTTATGTTGATGATCTTGTTTTAGCAGGAAATGATCACCAAGCTTGTCAGGAAGTCAGAACTTATTTGAATAAATGTTTTAAAATCAAGGACTTGGGTGCATTAAAATATTTTTTGGATATCGAAGTGGCCAGGAATAAGGATGGTATTTTTCTCTGCCAGAGGAAGTATGTCTTAGATATTTTACGTGAGATGGGCCTCTCTGATTGTCGGCCAGCTGATTTTCCTATGGAACAAAACCATCGTTTAGCTCTTGATACTGGTCCCCTATTTAATGATCCAGCACGACATCGTCGTATAGTTGGGAAGCTTGTTTATCTGACTATAACGCGACCTGATCTTACTTATGCAGTGCACATATTATCTCAATTTTTGCAGGAGCCAAAGGAGGCGCATTATGATGCAGCCTTGCGTGTTTTGCGATATATTAAACTTAATCCTGGCCAAGGCATTTTTCTACCTACAACAAGTGATCTTAAAATTCATGTATATTGTGACTCTGATTGGGCAAGCTGTCCTTTGACCAGACGATCTCTCTCTGGGTTCTTTGTTATGCTTGGTAACTCTCCTATCTCTTGGAAGACAAAGAAGCAACTCACAGTATCACGCTCTTCTGCTGAAGCTGAATATAGGTCTATGGCTGCTGCTACAGCAGAACTTGTTTGGATAAAATCTTTTCTTCATGCGTTGGATATAGTTCAATCTGAACCAATGGAGTTGTTTTGTGACAATCAATCAGCCTTACATATAGCTGCTAATCCAGTCTTCCACGAACGAACTAAACATATTGAGTTAGATTGTCATTTTATACGCGAACATCTCCAAGCACACACTATTCGTACAGGCTTCGTTCGTTCTCACTGCCAGCTTGCAGATATTTTTACCAAAGCTTTAGGAAAAGCATCATTTCTGACTTTCCTTCCCAAGTTGGACATTTCATCCTTACATGCTCCAACTTGAAGGGAAGTGTTAGCCAAGAATATCGGAGTATCACATTCTTTGTTGTAACAATATATTTTCGGTTGTTAGGTCTGTTATAGGCTGGTGCATATTTCTAGTGGTAGGATAAGATTCGTTTAGATAGTTTTATTATTTTTGAATGGGCAAAAAAATTAAAATAATGTAATTAATTAAAATAATTACGCATTTAATGCTGTTTTGTTAAAAATTACACATCTGTTGCACAATGAGACGCCCTCTTTGGGCGTCACATGTGACGCCCAAAGAGGGCGTCTCATGTGCAACCTATATATACCCCACTTTCCTTTTTTCACTCCTTACTCATTTACCTCTCTAACCGCGGTTCGTAGCGAAGCTCTGCCAACGTAGGTAAGGTCATAATACCTCATATGTATACATTTAAATTACAGTGCTAGTTAGTAATACATGTTAGGATTGATTGTATGTTAGAGACTTGGAACATTAGGATAGTCACTTAGAAATTTTGTGTCATGCTATGAATGTTGTAATGATATAGTAATATTATTATTACGTAGTTATTATTATTACTGATTTTTAATTATGTATTAGGGTTTAGCATATTAATTAGTGATTTATAAATAGTGTTAGACTTTGTAAATTTCGTATGCATGATGTTATTAATGCGGGAGTGCATAACTTTGTAGTTAGTTAAGGATAATGGCTGAGTCATCATCTTCTTCGGGATCTGATTCGGATGTAGAGCCCACCGATCCCAGCATGTGGATCATACCTGGACCCTACAGGTGGGAGGTCCTTCGTCAGAGGACGCAGAAAGGTCATATTTCACAGCGTGTGTGGAATACTGAGCATGTAAGAAAGATTAAGACGAGGCGTGGGAAGCCACAAGGGGGCCCACCTACCGGTGCTATTCCACAGGTTGTGGAAGAGTACCTCAGACAGGCGGGTTTCATACATGTTGCCAGGATGCAACATATCCAGGTATGTTATTTATGTCGTTTTGTATTTATGTAATTAAATAATGTAATTCGTTAACACGTGATAACTGCGTAATTTATCACAGATAGATACATTTTTAATTAGTGCTCTGGTCGAGAGGTGGAGACCAGAGACACATACCTTTCACATGACCCAAGGTGAGATGACGATCACCTTACAAGATGTGGCAGGCATCTTGGGCTTGCCGACCGACGGTACTGTCGTCATCGGATCGACCTCTGAGGATTGACACGCTGCTTGTGCTGGTGTTTTTGGACATGTTCCAGAGGCCGGTGAGTTCCATCATTCTGGCGACCTCCGCATCTCATTCTTGGATCGACATTATACCCGGTGGACTGATCATGAAGGGAATCATGCTGCCGAGATCTACTTCACAAAAGCTCACATTGCGCGGATGTTGGGGACTTGGTTGCTGGCGGACAAGTCTGGAGGTAGCAATTTTGGTTGTCGGCTTGTCCCGTTGCTAGGTGGAGGATTTGAGGACATTGGCCGATTCAGCTGGGGATCTGCAATTTTGACACACTTGTTCAGGAATTTGTGTGAAGTGACAGATGCTCGTCAAAGCGACATGGGTGGTTGCCATATTCTCCTTCAAATTTGGGCATGGATACGATTCCCACCCATTGCTCCACCCCTTCCTCCTCATCCACAACCGGGCACACATTATGGATGCCAGTATGATTTATTTACTTCATTTGATTTCGATAATGTTTGGTTAATACTGTATGTACTAACTATATACTTCTTGACTTTGGACGATTATGTTTGGTTGATAATGTTTTTGATTGACAGGTTTAATGCTGTACAAAAGTTTAAACCTCATGAGGTCACCCATTATCGGGAAACATTGGACACACTCTGTAGAGATGAGGTTTGGTGTTAGATACTTACGGTGTTGTTATTTGTCTATGGGTTTATTTTTTTTTGTAACTCTATATATTGTTTCACATTTTGTTTGTAGGTGGTGTGGCAGCCGTATATAGAATATGAGTGGCTTGACGTGACTCCAGAGCAGCAGTATCTGTGGCTAGCTCCCACACCTATTATCTACTTCCACACAGTTGAGGCATGTCAACCGAATAGGTGCATGCGACAGTTTGGTCTTAATCAACCCATCCCGGAAAAATCTAGAAAATTGAGAGGAATACATGATCATACTCTACGGGGGAAGGTTGAAGAGAACTGGAGACGTAAGCTCATGGCTCACATTGATCGATGGAATACTAGGATTCAGCATATTGTACTGCCACCTCCATTATATGGTTTGATGTCACCTAATCATGAGTACATGGAGTGGTTCAGAGAGAGGGGAAAGCGCTACATATCACGGAGGGCAGCAAAGATAGGGCGCATGGTGAGTTTTGTACTTATTTTACGTGTCGGCCTTTTTTCACCTTCGAATATGACACATCGTCGACCTTCTACCTTCCTACCATTGTAATATAACACAACACGAACAGAATCAGGATTTGAACTCATTTTTAAATAGAATTACAACTAAAATTCAAATACTAAATTAAAGATAAAGGAATGTTGGTGGAGAAGAGAGATATGAAGAGTGAGAGAAGAGGTATGAATTGAATGGAGGGGGTGAGGAAATATATAGAGCACACATGTGACGCTAGTTTTGGGCGTCACATTGTGCAGTAGATGTGTAATTTTTTACGAAATAACATTAAATGCGTAATTATTTTATTTAAATACAATATTTTAATTTTTTTGCCTTTTTGAATGTAACAACTTGGCTCCTCTTGTAAGCCTATATAAGCAGCGACTTCTTTGAGTAATACATAGAAAACATACCATATTTTCACAGGCCGAGCCCTCCCGTTAGTTTTGGTTATGTTTGTACTTTGTACCTCCGAGTGAACATGGCATTGTCTGTTTTGTTTATGTTTGTACCTCCGACTGAACATGTCATTGTCTATTAGCGTCTTCTGATATGAACCTTATGTCATATCCTTTTTTAATACGAAACATTTTACAATTAGAACAAAAAAATTAATAATAAAATATTATAATAACTTTAATATAATATATTTAAATAACAAATTCAATAATACTATTAATTTACTATTTACACAGTAAATTAATAAAAGATCTCCCTCGCAGGATTTATCAAACGATTTGTATTTATAACTTTTTTATACATACATAATCGATCTATGTTAATTTTGTTTCAGTATTCATAGGTAACAAATTTATAATCTGAAAATTTTGAAACTAAAATTAAATGATCTCATATATTTTTCTCAATACTGAAATAATTTGACTATGCTCAATTTTTTCATTTGGAATATTTTTTTTTTACTAATGAAGGAGTTAAATTTTAAGTCTTTCATAATATAGACTTCTTCTTTTTTCAAAAAAAAAGTATGTATAAAGCTTATTTTTCAAAAACTCGCTCATTGAATAAAAGTAATTCTTTATATGTAATGTGAAGGGTGTTAAAATAGGAATATCAACTCTCGTACCAATGTAAATTGATGCCTTTCTTTTCAATTTGAAAATGGATCAATTTATATCCGTATATTCAAAGTTACTCTTAAATTATTGAATATGTTTTATTAAATAATATCTACTGTTAAATTTGAAATTTCATATTTATAAAATTTAATATTATTTCAAAATTTCAATACTCTATCAATACACATAAAAATTAACATAATATATACTTTTAAAATGTATAAAAATATTATTATACTTTTCAAATTGGATCGCTTATTACATTCTTATAGTTATTAAACTTTTACAAAATTTAATAGAAATAATCATGACAATGCATAATTCTAAATTAATAAATACAAATTATATTCTATATAAATCATTAAATAGTGTAAGAATATAACAGATTTTTTTGGAAATACAATAATACCAAATTTTATACCCCTAAAATTAATCTATCCCCATTCAATATAATTGTCTAAAATTTTCTTCAGATCATTAAAATAATTTTCTCAAACAATCATCTGATCATAATTATCCTTCTTTAGTGATGTAACTATCTAGAATCTTAGATAGTGCAAAAATGATTTTTCAAGGACTCTCCAGTTGTTCAGTACTACGTTGCATCGATTTCTAGAAAGCTCTGAAACAAAACCAACTTTGTTTGCATCCGTATCAAGGTTTTGGAAAGTTTCTTTTCAATAGCTCTCACAGGTTCTAGTTTACTAATAAGAAATCAAACTTCCAAATTGGTAAGTAGTAATACGCTGGCATGCTTAAGTGATAACGTTTCACACATGTACCCAAAATATAAAATGGGAACCATCTCAATTTTTTTCATTTTCAACCTCCATTCGAACGCTACGACATTGCTCCCCCTCAATCTAAAGTACTGTTTCGCATTTCACAATTTTTCACCGAAATTTGCCAAATAAAAATTCATGATAGCATTTCATTAAAAAGAAAAAGTATAAAACTTGCCGTAAATATATAAACGTAAATCCATAAGTATTTTGAAGTATTTTCTTCTTCACAACCATTCTCCAAGAATGAGATTAAATAGCTTTCCAACTGAGCTTCAACGAAGCAAGTTAATGCAACATCTCATTGAATATTATAATTACAAACCAAAAATAAGCAGGACACTATTCCAACCCCCACTTACGCAGAGAAATAATGTATAGACATGCATAAAAATTGTGTCAGTCGAGGTAGAAGAGAGTCACAATCTTCCGCAGATTTTTTGCTTCTTGACAAGTTTCCATGAGCAACCTACTATCATGGAAAGCAAAGCAAATGACTTGCTGCACGTGTGAAATGATATCCATATTACATAGCCTGCATTTGAAACAATGAGAGAAAAAATAATGTCCAAATCTTACTGCTATAATAACAGCTCGCTTAAAAATTTAATTACAAGCTGGATTGCAACTGATACCAAGCTTATTCATCCAAATCACACCAGACTACAAACTGAAGATGTCATGTCACTCAAACTGGACTAAACGTGAGAAATTAAATCCTACACTATAAGATAAAAAAACTAAAGTTTTTCAAACAACGTAAATATGCGTAGGCTTGTAGACCAGATAATGTTCGTTCAGTTATATGTCCGATGCCATTGCCTCCCTAAATTGGCACTATACCCATATTACAAAGCACAAGTAATTTGAACATGGTCTTTTCCTAACTATATGATTCCCTCTTTCAATTCAATTTCATTTTTCAAGAATAAAATGGACAATAATGATAAACTCACAAACCCCTCACATACTCGAAAGTGATGGGCTCATGGACCATTCAGAAAAGTTATAGTAGTACAAAGGTTTTATCCATTGGCTTGCACGTGAGTCTATGAGCATAAAGTCTGCGCAGGAATCATTACTCCAAAATGAAAGACAACAAGAAAAAACAAGTAGTAAAAACCTGCTGGCTTCTATTAGAGGTAGATGATCATTGTGGGGCTTCTCTATCACATTTTTCACCTGCACATTCGACAAAATCATTGAGATCACAACCAATGATTAAAAACTGGACCAGCCTGGCTGGTCAGACCAGAAAAACCAGGGTGCAGTCTAACAGCCACATAAAACCGGCTTTAGGCCACTTTTATTTTTAAAAAACCTTAAAACGATGTAATTTAGTCTAAAAAATCCCATACCCAAATAATCTTGACAATCTAATCTTTACTACACACACACACATTAAACATATAAAGAAATTTTATTATGGAAGAAGAGAAGAGTACAAAGAAAGAGGATAGGAGTTAAGACATCCTCATGAGAAGGTAACAAAACAAAGCAACCAGAACCTATGAGATTGAGACATGTAACAAAACATGCCAATCTCTCTGCATGTCTAACAAATAAAAAATTCTAAAGACACCATGAGCAGAACATCAAAGGCAAGCTAAATATAAAATAAAGGATACCAAATTAAGTCTAGAGTAAAAAAAATGCACTTGAAAATTCTCACATTTTTTTCCACCCATAAACACTAGAGAACACCAAACACATAGCACGGCCACAAGATCTTATCTTCTTTACAAGAGTCAAAAGCACTAACATTAATAAGGAGAAACTGATGCAAATCCATAGGGCTAACCCAATACTCTCCAGAAAACCCAACCAGCCCAAGCAACACAAAAAGAGATAACCCCGAGATTAAACATAAATTAGAAAAAAATAGATAAGTAAAACTGACAAATTGAGGCATTATGTAGTGAAGTAAGGCAATAGAGACTCTGGAAAAGGCTCGGAAAGAGAAACAATTCCAATTAAAATACAAATATACTCCCAGGATTTAATACAAGAACCATTATATATATATATATATATATATATATATATGGGGCAAGATCAACCTACATTGCAGTAAGAATAAGAAGTCTTTACACCTAATCTTAGCTATTGATCCACTTGCATGTAACGACTCACATATATAATAAATTAGAATCATTAGATATAATAAATTATAAGTGTAACTTATATTAGTGTAAAATGATCTTGTCCCTATATATATATATATATATATAGACACGCACACACAATCCTTTTATTGTTTATTTGTAGATTTTGGATGATGTTGATAGGTGATCAGTCACAATTATTAGACACTTTTACATTGACCAAATTTAAACACTAAATGATAACAATTTTCATATATCATAGGTAGCCCAACAGAGAGGGTTAGGTTGCTACTTGTTACCTTGTAACCTGATGGTCATGAGTTCTAGTTGCAGAAACAACCTCTCTACTCACAATGATAGAGTTACCTGTAAATTTGACCTTCCCTAGACCCTGCAATGCACGGAGTCCCGTGCACTGCACAACCATTGTTAAGTGGCCTAGATTCATAAGTCGGGACCATTATTTCTTCCTATTCGGGAAGCTTACATTTAGGAAATGGTACGGAGCATGGCAAGTCACTTTGAAAAATAATATATGTTAAGGGTACTAGGGTACACTTTTTCAGTATGAGCGCATAAAGTTAAGCTCTCAGGTAGAAGCTCATATTGAATTACGCCCATCAAGTAACCCTGTGAGTCCATATTTATTTTAGAAGAATTTCTCCAAAATTAAGCCAAACCATGCATTTTGGTAAAAGTCATTAGGTTTCTTTTTCCTTCATGCTCCCACCAATGCCAGCCACTTCCTTCCCCTGCAACTGCGCAACACTTCATCACCCATAACAAGCATCAATGGCAGCATCAACCTTTATTCATCTTTCAAGCATCACAAGAAGCCAATGGTTCTTTCCTTAATTCTTGTCTTTCAAGCTAGCCATGCACCTGCTTTGGCTATCTGGATCATGTTCTTGAACGTTCCAGATGGCAAAAGTACCGTGGAGTATTGGTATGCAGGACCAAGTGGTAGGAGTGAGTTTGGCAACTATGATCTAGTCATGCATTGACACAATATTAAAAGAGTTTTGACTATGAAAATAACTGCCCAAGAGATCAAATTCTTTTGATGATGCGGCAACACATGGTTTGTATGTAGTGCAGAAAAAGTTTACACTAACAATGGATCAAAATCAAATTCTGAAGAATTTTCCCCCACTTTCTAACAGCATGACTCGCTATTACCATTTAGACAAACATGGCTAGCAGTGAAAGGGAGAGAAAAACTAATAATGGTGTTAAGCAGTGAGAACTTGAAGGTAAGATAGTGCCTGCAGACAGAGAGAGAGAGAGAGAGAGAGAGAGAGAGAAGGGGAGGGGGGAGGGCGAGACTAATCACCAAGGAAGCTTTGGAAACAATGAAAGTAAATGACCAATATATCATCCACTATCATGTGCCATTTAAATAGGAAGGGAACGGAGGGATTTTACTATTACATTAATATGAGGAAGATGCTAACCTCCATTTACCAATGAGAAGGTAAGCAATTTATATAATATTAGTGTATTGACAGGCATGTAATGCCTATCAATTTGCATTTTTTATTTATTATTGATATAAAATAAATATTAATGAAGAGTGTTTGAAGTAACTTATAATTGTCAACATCAACATCAACTACACTTTTATCCCAAATTAATTGGGGTCGGTAGTAGATGAACCCAAATAAAAGATACGAAAACGTTGAAAAAAGAAAATAAATAAATAAATAAATAAATAAATAAAATAGAAGCATTTGAAGCATTTGAAGCCATTTGCATATTTAACATTTTTTATCTTTAACTTTAAACTATTAAATAAGTAATAAGATGTATTTATAATTTTATCCTTTTATATTTATTTTTAAATATTTTAAAAGAATTTGTTAACCAAGTGTCCTTTGGGAAAATATTAAGGGAATAAAATTAGCATTTATTACGCATTGTAATTTCTTAAGGTATAAAGTATTAAATGCTTTTTAGATCCTCAAGATATTAAATGTTTATACTTTTCTTTAATAGTTTATATTTTGATTTCTTAATTATGCCTAAGGGCACACATTAACAAAATCCACATTTAAATAAATAATTAGTAATGGTAGTTACGCACAAACAAAGACTAGAGATGAAGAAAAGGAATCCCCTTTATAATATCTTTACTTCATTGAGGATAAACGTATAACAGATCGAGAGACAGAAAGGACAGATGTTCAGCAAATAAACCTACCACCGGGTTAAAATATTCATATGTAAAGCACATGAAAAATCTTTATTAAAAAAAGGTTTATGAACACTTTAAATTTAAACCTTAAAGATAGTGTATAAAAAATTCAAGCTTAAATCTTACTTTGGACAATAGCTCCTGACTCTCAGGAGGCTGCTTGCTTAAACTTTGAGGCAATATGACTGTAAGCAACTCTGGTTTTTCTGCCCTTAAAGCACCTCGGATAACAGCTGCATTAGTTCCAGATGCTCCAGATGTATATATGTGGTTTTTCTACAAACAATAATTTACAACAACAAATGCACATGAAGTTGTGAGACACAACCATAGTAATTGTCAACAAAAATCATAAGAACTTGTACTGTATCACCATATCTTGTATTCTACAAGCAAGCACATGATCATATTTTAAGATACCCTTAAGTGAAGTCACTATCTTACAGTTATAACCATAGCATAGCTAAGAATCTCAATTAGTTCCTGATGCATGAATCCCATGTTCCGCGTTCCAAAAAAGCCAATAGCTCTAGGTCCTTGCTGTTGAATAGCCAATAACTCCTGTAAAAAATCAAAACTCAATTCAAAATATGGTGCAACGTAACGTCACGCAGACAGTAATAGTTTCTCTCAGGTAGCAAAAACAATTTAAGATTATGAATATTTGTCAGTTATGTCAAAATGCAATGTCAAATTCAAAATCAAGTGCCTGTAATACTTAAGCAAAGTAACATATACTATTAGAAAAAGAAGCCTAGTTAAGACAGCGTAATAATTTTAAGGATTTAATTTTGATCCACCTTCGATGTAAAAGTTTTTTACACTATCATCAAATATTGTATTCCCAAATCATTAAGGAAGTTTGACAATCACGAACAAGACCAAGAAACTTTAACCTTTACAAGGATGTATTACCACATCATTAGATAATCATGTAAAAATCTTTAAATTGACAGTTAATCAAATTTAAACTCTAGTTTTAATGACTTTTACAATTATTAGTTCAGAGTTTGTATAAGTTTTGCAGCAAAATGGTTACAAACCTGTAGATAATCAACATCAGGAACAGGCTGGAACTCTGATACACGAACTGTCCCTGATCCTTCCACAACTGATTGGGCCTGAGTTGGAATCCGTGTGCCTAGTTCTTCATCAGAACCCTTCAATTCGCAATCTGGACTGTATCTATCTTGATCTCTATTCACATGTCCATAAAGCCACTATACCAGTACATAAAAACACAGTCCCTGGTAGTAAAAATTAGTGAAAAACAACTGCCCCCAAGCACAAGGAGTAGTGATGAAGCTAACATGAGCAAAAAAGTTGTACAAACTAAGAAAATAAACCTAATACTACCCTGCCCACAGCATGCTGTTCCAGTACATGAATTGATAACACTAGACTTTCACAAGGTACCTACATTCTTACTAGGCACTAGGCAACAGCTTGATTCAAGAAATTATCAAAGATAGTAGTAGTTTTCAGTTCTCGATTGGAGTAATTCCATCAAAAATCAAAATAAACAGTTGTGAAGTAATAAGATTCATGCACTACTGCAAATCAGAAGACTCAACTCACAAGATATCAATGTTTCAGAGATAAATACCGTCCGTCTTGACAGAAATGGCTTGGGTGTGGTCTTCTTCTTCCAGTTACCGAGGCGTCGGTGCAGAGACACAGAGAAACCCAAAAAGGCATTGAAATTAGGGTTTGCTTTGTGCTTGTACGAATAATAATGGGGAGAGAGATAAGAGGAAATTATGTAACTGGAAGGACACAGCGTTGCACTCATTCCTTCTTCCTACTTCCTTCCCCGCTTTTCTTTTTCTCGATTTCCCCTCCCTCTAACCTTTTCCTTTTTTCTCACCTCTCTGCTTTCTTTTTTAATATTCTTTATGATAATTATCTACGTCTAATCGAATCCTATATAAAATGCTGCAACTTTTTGGATGAGAACAGGGAGAGGGACCTATCACTTTTAGGCTATAAGTTAAATAAATCCAATATTAATAATAAAATTAAATAAAACTTATTTATCATACTAAAATTATTAAAAATTATTTAATATATTTTTAGTTCGTATAAATATAATTTTTATTAAAATAATTAATTAAAAAATTGAATATATTTTTTAAATTTTAAAATATGAGTGTGGTGAAATTTCATCTGATCCACTAAATATCATGTAAATGAAAAACCCATGAAATTGTGTGATTAATGTTTCTAATGTTATAGATAATTTAATTGTTGAACCATCGGTTTTGAAGACAAATATATAGAAGTTTTGATGATTACAAAGTACCAACTACCTCAATATAGGAGCATAATATAGAAGGCAGTGCAAGAAGTCACACATGAAGTTAAAAGATCAAATCAAGATGCAAAAGAAAAGAAGTAATTCAAATGTGCTAAGACAACATCAAAGTCAAAGTTTCCAAGAGAATAAAACTCAAAGGTATATTGTTTGTAATGTTAATTAGAGTCTTATAAATGTTGAGAACTGACTTTATGCGTTATATCTCTCAATGTTATATTTAGAAGCCATTAACTCATACATTAAAAAAAATCACATGCTTGATCTATACATCCAAGTCTAACACACATGGAAACTAAAGAAAGAAGATTTAAAATTTTTATTTTTAATCCAAATAGATTTTTGAAAGATTTGATTTGGTTTGGTTTTTGATTTGAAAAAGAAAAGGCTAATTTGATATTAATTTTCTTTTTTGAATGATTTGATTTCATTTGATTTTTCATTTGAAAAAGAAAAAGTTTATTTGAGATTAATTTTCTTTTTGAAAGATTTGATTAATTTTATCTAATTTTGGAAAGTTAATTTGAAGGTTTTGATTTTATTTTCAAAAAGATATTTTGAAAATTTTTCTTTAAAATCATGATAGAATATTTAATGCATAAATCTAGAGATTTTTTCTTAGGATTTGATTTTGAGAAAAAATCTATAAATACCATAGCTTGATAAGAGAAAAATGCTAAAACACTTATAACCCAAGAATCATACACATTTACGCTTATTTTGCATATCTTGAGAGACAGTTCAATAATTTTCTTCTCTTCATCTTTTTCTTTGGTTTCTTTTGTAATTGAGAAGGTAGAGAGGTGACTCTACATCTATTTTGAGAGATTTGATTGTTGTGTTTGTTTTTAAGACAATTGGAGTGATCCTATGGGGGCTTAGGTTAAGAGTGATCTAGGTTTGGTCATAGTTCTTGTAGAATTCCAATTGTAGATTGGTTTATAGTACAAGTGGAGTGATCCTAAAGGTGTTCGGGTTGAGGTAGTCTAGGGAGATCACAGGTCTTGCAAAATTTCTCTTGTGATTGGTTTTGAGACAAGTGAAGTGATCATAAGGGGCTTAGGTTGAGCGTGGTCTAGGGAGATCGCAGGTCTTGTAAAATTCCTCTTGTAAAACGGTTTCTTCAAGCACTGGTTGGAAGCTTGATGATAGTGGAACGATCGATGTAACGATCGATGTAATGTAGCTTTCAAGTGGTTGAAGAGTGAATCAGGATAAATTCCGATATTTTCTTCTCTTTCCCTATGCTTTTATTTTTCCGCTGCATATAACTGATTTTTGATTCTTGATATATGATGTTTTGCATCTGTTTAAAGGTTGGAGAATCTTTGTTAATTGATTAAATTCACTCTTGCATGTGTTCTTGAAAAAGTGATTTTGTTTTTCTTTGTTTCTTTCGGAAAAAGTTTAAAACACATTTCACCCCCTTATGTTATTATTTAGCCATTCTTTCTTTACATTTATCTCTTACAAATATATAAAAGTATATGAAAGTATGTGAAGCATGTAAGGAAAAGAGAAAGAAAAAAATAAAAGCCCCCTAACATTTATATATATATATATATATAGAAAAAATATTTTCTCATATTGCATAAGAATGTAATTATCATGTTGTGACCCTTCGATTTGCTTGCAAAAATTTTCTTTTCTTTTTCATTTTTTAATAAATGTGGGGTCCACCACTAGTTGAGCCACAACATGAGAATTCAATTCTTATGCAACATGAGAAAATCAAACCCCATATATATATATATATAGGAAAAACTATTCTCATGCTACATGAGATAAATTTTCCTTCCTACACACTATTTGATAATTGTGCCACACTTTTATTTTTTTTCATTTTTTTTTAGGTGTTGGAGCCCACAAATTTATTTCTATGACATGAGATATCTTATCTCTTTTAACATGAGATTAATAAAACCGTATATCTTTATATATATATATAGGGAAAGGATTTTATAAGAGTTACGTTGTAAGAAAAGTGATTGTGCAATGCTATAGAGATTCGTTTTGCGTGCTGTAGTCTTTTATTTTTTTTTGCTTCAAAAAGTGTAGGCCCCACAAAATGTTGTGTGTGTAGGAAATTTTTTTTTGTCATGTTAAATGATGAATGCAAACCCCATAGGAAAAAATGTTTATGCAGTTACTGCATATAAGTTATCTGCATTTATTCCCAAAACGACGTCGTTTTGGTATTGAAATCTTAAAAAATTATAAAGATAAAGACTATTATAACCCTGAAATAAATTAAAATTACAAAATCACCGTGATTTCTGTCTCAAAACGACGTCGTATTGGGCTTACTGTGATAATTGCAGAAAAAGCGAACTCATATATGAGAAAAATATTTCTTAAGTTGCTTGAGATATATTTATCTCCGGCTAGCTCAAAACTACATCGTTTTATTTATTTATTTCCTTATATTTATTGATTCACATTTGAATAGTTATGATTTACTTTTTCTCTCCTCCTTTATCACCATTGATTCATCTTTGTACGATTATGAATTTAGTAGCCGGAGATAAAATTATCTCAAGCAGCTTGAGAAACGTTAAGTCCTATATATATATATATATATATATATATATATATATATATATATATATATATATATGTATGAGAAAAATATTTATCTAGTCACTGAAGATAAAGTTATCTCCCGTGAGCTCAAAACGACGTTGTTTTGGGGTTATAAGATTAAAAAATTATAATTATAAAGACTAATATAATCTTGCAATATATTATAATTACATAAACACATTGATTTCAGTCTAAAAATGACGTCGTTGTGAGCTCACCGGAGATAATTTTATCTCCGATGACTAGAAAAATCATTTACCCTATATATATACAAGAAATAAAAGTATTTCTTATAACATAAGAAATATTAATTCCTACAACTATTATTTTAAAATTTTGAGTTAAGGCCTTCTGTTCAACTAATCTGTTATGATTTTCTACCCGTTGGCTTTTCTGCACCACCTATCATAAAGCACTCGTTAAAAAATAGTTTTTTGTTAGATTGTTAAAATTGTAATAATACTTTTTTATACAATACTCCCTTTTTTCGAAAAAAAAAGATCGTTACATATGTTTTTAAATAATTTATTTCATATTTAATTAAAGTTTACATACAAGACTTAAAAAAAACAGTCATGAAAATTGAGTTATGTTATGAAATGAAGGGGGAGAGATAAAAGAGATGCATATCACAAGATAGGTGGGAGAAATAAGAGAAGATAAAGAGGAATGGAGAAGACACAGGTAGAATTCTAATTCTTATTCAGCAATCATTTCCAATACAATCAATGTAATATATAGAATTGAATGAGAGAGTAATATTCCATTAATATGGTGGTTATAAAATCATGAATAAGGGATAATTAATCATTAGTCTCAATAGATACATAATTCAAAATTCAAGTCATCCATTATTTTACAACATTATAACTTGGATGACTATACACACTATGGATATGACTCGTTAAAACTTAAAACCTTGAAAAAAAAAAATCAATGGAATAACAAAAAATTAGCAAAGGAAAGTAATGAGTATAACTTCACTCAATTGAGCCGTAAAGCTACTCATGGAGCTACAAAGACAATGTAACATTAGTTTCAATGGTTACAAAATCATGAATGAAGGATAATTACATCATTAATTTCAATGGCTACATAATTCAAAATTAAAGTCATCCATTATTTTACAAGAAGTTAATCCATTATTTTAAAAGATGCTAAATTTTTTTGTTCCATTAAATTTTGACCAAACAATTTCAAATTTTAACGAGCATGTTAATAATTGAAATAGTGGATTTGTGTGCGGTCATAGTGCCAATTTGTCAACACATTTATCCTCAAGTTCAACATTGCTAGAAACCACATATAGGAGTGCAGTTAAGCGATTCAACATGATAAGGGGGACAATTAATGTTGTAGAATAAGCAACTGGTCAAAACACTTTACAGCACACCTTACCCTGGCATTCTCATGCATCTCAGTTGACAATGCCCTTTTCCTTTTTTAACATTTTGTATATTTTTAATGAAAGAAATAGGGAAAAGTTCAATGATCCGTTTTCCTTTGAATTACTGACACCCTTATACTTTTTTTAATTATTTATTTCTCTATAATTTTTTCATCTAAGTCCATCATTTAACACCATTAAAAATTTAACTAATCTGTCTACTTTACCTTTCTTAGAATAAAAGAATATACTTATGATAAAAAAATAAAATAAAAGAAGAAATAAGATCAAATATGTTAAAAACTTACAATACTCATAAAAGAGACTAAAAAGAAATAAATAAAAATTGAGAAAAAAAAAATGAAGAAAAAATAAAACCAAATAGCTACAAACTTATAATAGAGACTAAAAGTAAAAAAACAATGAAAATAATCTAAAAATGAAAATAATCTGAAGATAAAAAAGAAATAAGATTAAATATGTCTAAATAAAAAATAGATCGAGGACTAAAAATAACACGATATATGTTGGAAATTTAAAAAATGTTCTTTTTTGTTTTATTTTATTCTTCTTATTTTCTCTTCCATTTCTTTTAGCAGTGATAGAAAAGATTAAAAGTAAAAAAAAATATAAGAAAAAAAATCAAACATATCTAAATCAAAAAGAAGAAAATAATGAAGACAAAAAAGGAAAAAAATAGAAGAAAAAATAAAATGAAATATGTTGGAAACTTGAGATTTCTTTTTGTTTTATTTCCTTTTTGTCATATTTTTTATTCTATTTTTTTTATTTTCTATCGCTATTGTAAATTTTTAACATATTTGACCTTATTTTTTCTTTTTCTTTCTGTTCTTAATCTATTTTTTTTTTATTTAGACATATTTGATTTTTTTTTCTTCTATGATTTTTTTTTTCTTTGTCTTTTTTATAAGTGAGGTAAGTTTCAACCATATTTGATCTTATTTTTTTCTTTTTTGTCATGATTCTATTATCTTATTTTAAGAAGGGTAAAATAGATAAATTAATTAAGTTTTCAATGGTGTTAAAGATAGACTTGAATGGAAAACAAATAATAGAAAGATAAGTGATTAAAATAAAAACATAGGATGTAAAATGTAAATAATTCGAAGCAAAATCATAGGCAGATTTTTAAACTTATCCAAAAAGAAAAAGAAAAAGTTTTAAGCAAACATTCATCGTGATGTTGATTTTTTTAAGTTAGGGAATAAAAATGATTTTTGCTGTTATCTTAGAAAATACTGCCTCGTTTGTTTTTAAACCTCACCCAACTTGAAAATTTTAAAAATCCAAAAGGAAATTTATTACTTTGCCATCCACCATCTTTCGATTCTTTCATTTTCTTTCCCATTCTCCCTCCCATTCCCAACATTGATTTCTTTCCCTCCCAATTAGCAACATACCCTTAGATTTTCTTTCCTCTATATTTATGAAATAGAATTCGTAATGGATAAAAGAGAAAATGCAAGCGACGGATTCTTCTGTCCCTTGTCCCTGCTAGCTTTGTAGTTGGAACTAACACAGCAACTTCATGCCACCAAGCTGATTTTTGCTTTGTTGTGTTCTTGTCATTGCTGATCATTGATAATACTTATTCTCGTTTGTTTTAAAGGAATTTGGAATTGGTGAAGGGTTTGCTGAGCTCATTTCTTTATGAGTCCGAAATTGCTCTCAACCTCAGTTACTCGCAAACTTCTGTCGTTGGAAATGGAAATGTTCATATCTATGCATTCTGCGTAAAACCCATGTCCTGAAATCCTTCAGCTTCGTATTTGATTGTGTTCGGAGCTAAAATATGAGTACGAAGCAGCCAATCCGTTGAGCATTTTTGTCAAAAGACCACGTAGAAAACTATGCTTGTTCCAACCTAATTTTATTAACTTCATCCCCCAAAAAGTGGAAAGAAATTTTTTTTAGGCAAAAGAACTAGCAAAGTCGCATGGTCTCTTCCCAAAAGAATCACATCTCATTTCTGGATTGTCTGTTGGGTATGGTTCATACTTCGCATGCTGATGATGACCTTAGTTGTCGGGGTCAGCAGAAAGGCAACTGAGATCCCGCTTCCAGGTGAGCGGGCGGGGGTCCGGAGGGCAGCGCCCCCAGGCCCGTAGAGGCTAGGTACTGTTGTGGGCCTCTGTTTTATTGTAATTTTCTTAGCAATTTAGGCTTGGACCCATGAATAGCTGTTGTTAGAATTTTGTAATCCTATTTATATTTGCTTTGTAAACCGAGAGACTTGTAACGAGTGACGGTGAGATGAATATAATACACACAAGCTGGACGTGACCTAAATTAGGTGAATCAAGATAAATCGCTGTGTCTATTCTCTCTCTTTTTCTTTTCAGTTTTCGATTTGTATGTTGTCGATTTTCAACATTGTGGCCATCTTACGCAAGCTAACAAATCAGAAAACCTTCTTTACAAATTTTGTACTGTTGAAAATTGTAATCTTACCAGAAAGTCGGTGCGATCTTGCCACACCGCTAAGAAATTAGCTGACTTGGAGAAGCATCAACCTGTCAAATATTATCACTTCTGCAAAAGTCTTGTGGCAACAAACTACGGCACCATGAAACTAACCCAAAAACAAGTACCCATTTTTTAAATATAAAATGCAGGTAAATTCGCCAGCAGACCCTTAAATGTCCCATCTCTTCTTAATTCGAAACATCAAAAATGAAGATTTTATGTCGTCTTGGGGCACTTGAAGCATGAATTGAACTTTCATCTTCATAGGAGCTGTTTTGGCTTTCCCGCCTTCATCTCCAACCTGAATGAAGCTAATGAGATCACTAAGAGTATAGACACTACGCTCGCACTTTTCGTACAACTCACTATACTCAGAATAATTTCTCTTTACACACTTGAAAGACTACTTTCCTAGTACTGAAAATTGGATTCTAATTTAACAGTTCTGAGAGAAATTAAAGTAGTCAAGCTTCGAAATTACAACAAATTTCTTAGTACAATGAAGATGATACCCAAGTATTAAAAACAACTTCAGTTAAACTTTCAAGTAAACAAATGGATAAAGCAATAAGCCATTTTACCTTAACATCTGCTACAGTTCAAAAAGTTTAACAAGTACATGCATCCCTTATATGCAGGAAGCAGTGTCATGTGGCGTCTAAAACTGAAATCACGATGCAAATGCAATATATCGATGAAAGCTATTAATAATTATAATCTGAAATATAAGAGCTCAAACTTAACAGTCAGCTTAAAGGTTTGGCCAAACAGAATGAGGGACAGAGTATTTGTATATCAGGTAAATAAGAACTTGTTTGGATTCTCTTTTTTTTTAAACTAGAAGCTACTTATAAGCTAAAGTTAAAAAAAAGAGCTTAAAAAAAAGCTAAAAGCTGTTTGGTGATTACCTAAAATTTTTAACTTACAAGTTATTTAAAAGCACATATTTCAAGAAAACTTTCTCTCTCTCTATCTTTATAGCTCTTTATTAAAAAAAAAACACACAATTCAAAAAAAGTTGACAACAGGTTAAAAAAAAGCTCTTCCTAGGAGCTTTTAGCTTTTTTCTTCATTATAAAAAAAAAGAACTTTTCATTATAAGAGTTTTTCTCAAAACTCGTTTGGCCTATCTTCTACTTATAAGTAGCTTCTACCTTAAAAAAGAAAGGATCCAAACAGGCACTAAATATAAAAAGAGAACGTTGGTGTAAGAATGCACATCACTAGCAAATTAAGTATGATCTTTTGAGCTATGAAACCAGTCTATGTACCAAACAAACAACCAGGAAAAATATATAGAATCATAAAAAGAATGGCACCAATTATATCGAGTATGAATACATAATTACAAAATAAGACACATACCCAAAGAGATGCCCAGCCAAGGCGAACCTCTGAATCATAACCAGCTTTAAATTTGAAATCTTTACCATAGGTACGTTTGTAGACAGCACTCCAATAGTTGGAATCACAATTGTACCAGTAACTATCCATAAAGTATTTAAAAAGCCACATCAGCAAAGGGACAAGCTTATTTTCTAATTAAAAATGGGTACGATAAACAGAAAAAAAATCAGATTACACAATAACCTGAATTAGTTAACCAAGCAGGGATATACAGCAATAGCAGTTATGATGACACGAATCACTTTATTTACTTTTTGTTCTGATTTTGGCAATGGCTGAGATTTATGATAATTTACAACTATAACTTGTAAAAAAAATTAGTACGTCAAAGAATAACAATACATAAATGCTGAAAACCTTGTCAAGTAGTGCGCACGTAGAATAAGCTTTTTTCCCCCCATATCGTATTACTCCCTTTACCAGTAAAAACTCTGTGTTTAAAAGCATAGACAAGTATAGACCACAATCTCATGCAAAATGTTTAACATAAGAACAAGCTCACTAAGATTTTGATAGATACCCTCTATTTACAAGAGTCTATGCGAGGATAAATAAAGAAAAGGCAGTGGTAACTTGAACAAGGGTGGGGAGGTACAAAGCAATACGCATGTGGGGTTTTATTGTAACTATCTAGACATGCGAAAGCAGGGGAGTGAGAAGTGAGGAAGGTGTAATTCTGTTAGAGGTCATGTTAAATGCAGAGAGAGGATAGGAAGGCAAAATAGTGTAGAGTGTGGTTTTGGGTGGGATTGGCTATTCTTCTGTATTTTCTTTCTCGTCTAGTCTGTCAATAATCCAAGAAATCCAGAATTTTCTTCTGGTAAGGAGCTAGTCTCCACTTTTTCAACAGTAAAATCAGTTCCTATCAGATTCGAACTCAACACCACTTGGCAAAACAATTTTACTACCACATTTCAAAATCAATCAACTCAAGATTTTATTAAATAGATCATAGATTATTGCCAGTAAGAATGTAAGTAATAAGATAAACAATTCTCTTTCTGGGCATTTAGATGCTTCAACTGCAGATGATGCCAACTATAATAACAACATTCAAAGCTTAACTAGCACATGATGGGTTCTGATAAGTCTTTTAATTGAGACTTAGGACATATGATTTAATTGGCAAATGAAGAGAAAAAGATTTATTTTGCTGTTAAGATACCCCAAATTTATGTTGAGTTGTCTTTTGCTGGTTAAATGCTAATGGGCTGTAACATTTCATTTTTCAGGCCCAATTTCTATCTAAATCAGAAATACCCAAGAAAGGGAAGAAAAGAAGAAAGAATGGAAGAAAGAATGGAAGAAAGAAAGAGATGGGCCGGACCTAAAGGCTAAACCCCAACTGCAAGGAAAGAAAGAAACAAAGGAAGGAAGGGAGAGACAGAATCAGAAAACACGAAAGTCAAAAGAAAAAAAAGAAACCCTAGCACACCCATAGTGAGCGCGCCCATCAGCCTCATCTCAAGGCATCCATCTTCAATTCCTTTTTCAAATCAATCCTTCAAGCCGAATCATTTTGCGATTTTGGCTTAACCATCGAGTTGTAACCATCATCCACGGTCCCTTAAAAGAAAAAATCAAACCCTAACCATTACTTTTTGGTTCAGAAAATGCCAAAAAACCCATGACTGATTTGGTGAGCTGGATACTGTGGTGAGTGGGGCTGAAGGAATTTTTGGACAGCACCAGTCATCGTACGTATTGAGGAGCGGAATTTCATCCGGATTATCTGAGCGAGGGGTGGAGCAGCTGGGGACCACCCATTTGCAACGCGCAAGAAGCGCGTGATACCTGCTAAGCTGGAGCAAAAGATCATGAAGAGAAGGGAAGGAGAGCTATAAAAGGGAAAAAGGAGTGAGTCAGCTGCGTTGGTTTTTTGGATTCTGTCTTCTGGAATTTATTTTTAATTGTTCTGAACATTTTTATTTTTATTTTCTTTCAAAGTTCTGTTCTGTAATGAGACTCATGTTCATTTGATGAGCCTTATGCATGTCTCTACAGCACTGAGATTTCCGGTTGTTAGGACCAGCGCTGTAGGGTAATTTTAAGCACTTTATATTCTGCAATTTTGGTTTAAGTTTTCTTTTACTGTTTGTAAGCTCCATTCTCATGGATAGGAGCTAAACTTTTTATAGGTTGGGTGTAGGTACCCGAACCACAGTCTTGAATATGTGCTGAATACTATTTTTCTTGAAGTTGATTCCCTGTTTGTTTAACACTGTGCTTTAATTTATTTATACTACCGTTGAGGCCTGATGGTAGGATATGATTTTGGGAACTAGTCATTGAGAAATGACTAAGTCCAGAATTGTGTTGAACACATGGACTTGAGCGTGAGAGCACTCAAGGGGTGTTACTCAGAGATGAGAACAACCTTCATGTTGTGTTGGTTGGATTATAATGGTCTTTGCTTCATTTAGCACAGAGATGTGCAAATGTTGGTGTTAGAAATAATATTAATTTATTATTATTAGAATAGTCTAGATTGTGGGCTTGGCCCATTAGGTCATCCCATCAGGTCTTTTAGCCTCTATAAAAAGAGAGCCTCCTTGTACATACTTATATACTTGAATATACAATATATTTCAGATTCAATTTGGTATCAGAGCTCTCGATCTGAGGGCTCTGCTTCCGCATGTATATCTTTTCCTTTCTTTTTACTGCCGTGCATCATACCGGCAACCATCCTTTCACACCTAACCCTTATTTAGTCACAAGTTTCTTGTCCTCAACCTCGTATCATCTAGAAAAAGATCGTCAGCCTCCGTTCATCGCCGGAAACCGCCACAAAACCACCGTCCGCCACTGTTCACCGTCGTCAGACTGCTTTTCCGGCGACTTTTCCGACCAACCACCACGCGATCAGGAGCAGCTCAGGGAGGCGACCCTGTCTGTCCAAGCCGCGTGTTGATCGGAGCATCCACGCGCCGGTGGAAGTCTCCGGCGGCCGAACCACTGTTCCGGCGCGTGAGCCACCGTCCGGCCACCGTTCCAGGCCGGACCACCACCATCTTGCTCGCCTCCTCGCACTCTTTCCAGATCTGGTCTCCGCTCGTTGTGGGTCCCATCCGTTTGAAAGATATCAGTGAAAAACCCGCTGTTTGGACAGTTTTGTGCAACGTTTTTGCGCGATTTCTTGCTTTCTTGTAGTTCTTTGCTATTTTCTGGTCATCTCCTTTCATTTTGTGATGGAGGGCTCAAATAATGCGTCCAAAAACACGACTGGCATCATCTCCGGTACTACCCCATCTCCATTCTCTTCTCGGGCCAGTGATTCCAATTGGAACAGTGGACGCGGTCGCAGACGTGGCCGCAGACAGAGGCCTCGTTGCAATTATTGCCAGAATCTTGGGCATTTTGAAGAACGCTGCTATAGGAAGTACCCTCATTTGAAGCCACCGTCTGCCAAATTTGCTCAAACTGATGTTACGCCACCTTCAACTGGATTAGTAACTCTTTCAAGTGCCGACTATGAGGCACTTCTCAAGAAGGTTTCTTCTCAGCATCCTACTCAAGACACTGGTAATCATGTTTCTTGTTTTTATCAATCATCTCTTGGACCCTGGATAATAGACTCAGGTGCTACTCATCATCTTTGTGGTAATAAAGATCTCTTCACTTCACTTTCTTATTCTAATAACCTACCCCCTGTCACTCTTGCTGATGGCACTAAGGCTTCTGCTCGTGGAATTGGGGAAGCCAACCCAACTCCCCTTTTAACCTTGAGTTCTGTTTATTATATACCTGGCATTCCTTTTAATTTAATCTCTGTTAGCCAGTTGATTCATTCTCTTTCATGTACTATTACCTTCTCTAAACAATCATTTTCTATGCAGGATTCGGGTACGGGGAAGACGATTGGAGCAGGCGTTGAGTCACGAGGTCTCTACTATCTGATTGCACCACCTTCTCCAGTAGCCTGTTCTCTCACAGAGTCTCCTGAGCTAATTCACAGCCGTCTGGGTCATCCAAACCTCTCCAAGCTTCAGCATATGGTTCCTTTTTTATCCAATCTTAAGTCTTTAAACTGTCATTCTTGTCAGCAAGGAAAACACACTCCTCCTCCTTTGCTAATAGAGTCAATAAAAGAGCTGATGCTCCTTTTTCTATTGTTCATTCTGATATTTGGGGTCCGAGTCGAACAACGTCTGTTTTGGGTTTTCAGTATTTTGTCACCTTTATTGATGATTTCTCCCGTTGCACTTGGGTTTATTCAATGAAAAATCGTTCTGAGTTATTTTCAATTTATCAAAAGTTTTGTGCAGAAATAAAAACTCAATTTGGTGCTTCTATTCAAATCTTGCGCAGTGATAATGCAAAAGAGTATGTGTCTCTTGAATTTTCTAAATTTCTGGATACACAAGGGACGATACACCAGACTACCTGTCCCCACACTCCACAACAAAATGGAGTCGCTGAACGTAAAAATAGACATCTAGTTGAAACTGCTCGTACCCTTCTCATTCATATGAACGTCCCACTCCGTTTTTGGGCAGATGCTATTATCACCTCATGTTTCCTTATCAACCGCATGCCCTCTTCTGTACTAAATAATGATGTTCCCTACAGTATTTTGTTTTCCGGAGCACCTTCTTATCCTCTGCCTTTACATATTTTTGGCTGTACTTGTTTTGTTCATGATCTTACTCCAGGTAAAGACAAGTTGACATCCAAGGCCTTCAAATGTATTTTCCTTGGGTATACACGTTTTCAAAAAGGGTATCGTTGCTATTCTCCTGATCTCAAGCGTTATATCGTTTCTGCTGATGTCACTTTCCTTGATCAGCAGCCTTTTCACTCTACTCCGTCTCCAGTGTCCCAAGTTGATCAGGTCCTTCCTGTTCCTTTTCTTGACTTGTCTTTACCAGCTGCAGGTGACCCTATTCCAGAGGAGCAACCAATTACCTCCATACCTGCAGATCGTCCTCTCCTCACATACCAGCGTCGTCAGCCTGCACCTCCTTCGACTTTGCCTCTTGATGACTCATCGCCCTTTCTCGTCGGCTCTTCTCCTCCGGATCCTCCATCAGAGACTCCTCCCATTGCCCTTCGGAAAGGTATTCGATCCACTCGAAATCCTCATCCCCTTTACTCTTTCTTGAGTTATGACAGACTTTCTTCACAACATTTTACTTTTGTTTCTAGTCTCTCTTCTGTTTCCATCCCTAAAACCACAGGTGAAGCACTATCTCATCCAGGGTGGCGCCAGGCGATGCTTGATGAAATGCAGGCACTTCACTCCAATGGCACTTGGGATCTTGTTCGTGCTCCTCCCGAGAAGTCTGTTGTTGGTTGTCGATGGGTGTTCACAGTTAAAGTTGGTCTTGATGGCACTGTTGATCGCCTTAAAGCTCGCTTAGTGGCCAAGGGATACACACAAATCTTTGGTCTTGATTATGGGGATACCTTTTCTCCTGTTGCTAAGATGGCTTCTCTTCGCCTGCTTCTTGCCCTTGCCGCCATTCATCACTGGCCCCTTCTCCAACTTGATATTAAGAATGCTTTTCTACATGTGACTTGCAGGAGGAAGTTTATATGGAGCAACCACCAGGTTTTGTTGCTCAGGGGGAGAATTCTGGAATGATATGTAAACTTCGGAAATCTTTATATGGCCTGAAGCAATCTCTTCGGGCCTGGTTTAGCCGTTTTAGTTCAGTTGTTGAATCCTTTGGATTAATCAGAAGCAAAGCCGATCATTCTGTCTTTTACCGGCATAGCTCTTCTGGCCAGTGCGTTTATCTCCTGGTCTATGTTGATGACATTATCATTACAGGCAGTGATCAGACCGGGATTGATCAGTTGAAAGAGCATTTATTCAATCAATTTCAGACCAAAGATCTTGGCAGACTTCGATATTTCTTGGGGATCGAAGTTGCACAGTCTAGGCGGGGCATTTCCATCTGTCAGAGGAAGTATGCACTGGATATCCTAGATGAGACTGGCATGTTAGGCTGTAAACCCATTGATACACCTATGGATCCCAATGTTAAGTTATTACCAGGACAGGGGGAGCCACTGCCAGATCCTAGTCGCTACCGCCGACTAGTTGGAAAATTGAATTATCTTACTGTGACAAGGCCAGATATCTCCTTCGCAGTGAGTGTTGCAAGTCAATTTCTTGATTCTCCCTGTGACTCCCATTGGGATGCAGTTATTAGAATTCTCCGATATATTAAAAAGGCGCCAGGAAGAGGTTTATTATATACAAATAAAAGGAGTTCAGAGATCTCTAGTTATTCAGATGCTGACTGGGCAGGTTCTCCTTCAGATAGACAATCCACCTCAGGGTATTGTGTTCTCTTCGGAGGAAATTTGATCTCTTGGAAGAGTAAGAAGCAAACTGTGGTCGCCAGATCCAGTGCGGAGGCAGAATATCGGGCAATGGCAAATGCAACCTGTGAGCTCATCTGGCTGAGTCAATTGCTGAAGGAACTCCATCTCTGTGAACAAAGGCCTATGAAGCTCATTTGTGACAACCAAGCCGCTTTGCATATATCCTCTAACCCAGTCTTTCATGAGAGGACCAAGCATATAGAAATTGACTGTCATTTTGTTAGAGAAAAGATCCAGTCAAGGGAGATGCATTTGTCAATTCCAATGATCAACTTGCGGATGTATTCACTAAAGCTCTTAGAGGTCCCCGAATAGATCATATTTGTAACAAGCTGGGAGCTTTTGATATATACGCACCAGCTTGAGGGGGAGTGTTAGAAATAATATTAATTTATTATTATTAGAATAGTCTAGATTGTGGGCTTGGCCCATTAGGTCATCCCATCAGGTCTTTTAGCCTCTATAAATAGAGAGTCTCCTTGTACATACTTATATACTTGAATATACAATATATTTCAGATTCAATTGTTGGTTAAGGATAAAAATGTTTTTAAGAGATTAAAAGCAATAAGAAGAGGGTCCAACACTTGGGAATTAATTTTTAGGGATTTGTTTTAGCACTTATTTGAAGGCTGTTGGGGATGGGGAACCAAAACTCAACCTGTTTTACAACTTATTGTCAACAATTCAGATTTATTTTCCTTTGATTTCACATATTTCAAATCTAATTCTGGTTACCAATTTCTTCTTCTAAAAAAAATCTTTTGACTTTTACTCTTCTTTTTACATCAAAAATATCCCAACTTATTTTCCCTCTAATTTTCCATTCATTAAGTTGTCAAATCAATTTTTAAAAGAAAAATCCAAAAAGAAAAGAATTCACGGTTTAGTAGTAGTATTGTGTTTATTTGTTTTCCATTTTTACCCATTTTTAGAATAGGTTCAGTTTTAGCAATTACCAAATTTTGTCAAAGTACATACGCTAAAGATCCTTGTGGGAACGATATAAGGGTCTCATATACGCCCTGTATTACTTGTTGTCGCGTATACTTGCGCGCTACTTGCATAACTGTTAGCAAGGCAACAGGTTCAAAATGAACACATTGATCAAGATTCTACAGAATATGTCTCTCTGCATCGTAAAGATTTTTATCCCTTGTAATGATATAGATCAGAAAAACTGAACACCTTAGTCGAGAATCTACAGACAATAGTTGTAAACCAATAATACCAGCATACATTATGTAGTTATAATTGTTTCCATTTATAACGTTTTCCCAAACTCAGTTAAAAAGAACTCTTATCATCTATGTTGATAATGGAGAGCAACAAAAAATAGTGGAGATATATATTGTGGATTCTTAAGAGGGTGTTCTAACCTTAACTTGTCAGAAGGACCAAGCCGACGCTTAAAGGCAAATGATAAAGCATTTGAAGGGAGAGAAAGTATAGGAATAAATGACATTTCATCATCCTGCATTTATTTGGAGCATTCAAATTTCAAAATAAGCTCAAGAGAGTGTCAAACAACCAAATACCAATTATGGACAAAATAACTGGCACCAAAGGCAATAAATTTAAGAGATCCAGGAAAATACAGAAAACATAGTAGCGATCACAATGATAGAAACAAAAATTGTGAACATGGGAGAAAATGAGTAGTAACATACTAAAAACGTTAATCCTGCTACCAATAAAGTACCTTATAGCAGTATCTTAATTTCAATTCTTCATCCTTGTACTGGGCAGTGTAGAGCCCATTCAAAAATTGACCTTTGAGGATCCCACTCACTGACAACAAATTCTTGACTTCGTCCTCCTCTTTCTCCTGTAGTGAAACTTCACCTACAGGAAATCTAAAGGTTGCTTTTGGCTGCAAAATGAGGACAGAGAATTCAAACAAGCAGGGGATCAAACATAATACTATCATCTTGTTCAGCAAATTTAGCTTAATATTGGAGACTGTAGCAATGTGGAATCAGTATTGTCCCAATGTTCGGGGAGATGCAAATATTTTATACTGGTTTACGGCAGATTGCGCACTCAAGCACGGAAGAAAAATATATGAGACCAAACTAACAACTTGAAAAATACACCTACACCGCTTAAGTCTCTGCATATGATAGTAGAAGCAAAAAATATTAAAGGTCCAAAAGATATAAACATGATTAATACACACCAATCCAACGGATGGAACTGCTGTTGATAGTTCAAGTGCATAGCCAGTATCAGCCACGTTTGTAACCATTGTAACCTCTCCTTGTTGAGCCTTAGGACAACAAAGCCCGAAAAAGTGAGAATATAAAGAAAAAATTGAAGTTAAAATACAGACAGATGCAGAGATATGACCTTGATATCATGAGCAGCTGTGACTTGCAATCTGGGACCAACATCGAAGGAACTCTTAACAAGAGCATTGTGGTCTTCGAGGTCGTAGTGGAGGCTAAGGTACTTGGACACGAAGCTGATTTGAGGTTCGGAGATGTCGCCTTTATTGTTATTATTGAATGAAAACTTGAACTTAGCAAGCCTGTCCATGAACTTCCAGGAAATTTTATGAAAGAAGGTTGCGCTTTCACTATCGAACTCATTAGTGATTCTGATGGCTGAAAATGAGAAGATGGGTCGGTTATGGGATGTCGGCACTGGTTGCGGCTGCGGCTGCGGCTGCGGCGGAGGGGTGGGTAGCACCATGTAATTAGGGTTTCCGGCTGCTGGTTCCATCTCCACCACCCACTGTATCTGAGTAGTCTATCACCACCTTTGTCTTTGTATGGTCTGGGGAACAGGTATATGTTTATTGCATCGTATATTCGTATTCCAACCATTTTAAGGGGAAAACAACTGCTTTTTTTATTTTCTTATAATATTAAGAAATTAATTTGGACGAAAAGTGTGAGATCTTTTTAATATATAAATGTAACTTAATTTATTAAAATATATTAAATAAAGTTAAGCAAATCATCATAACATATAAATACATAAATTTAAAATTTAAATTAATTATTAATTATACATCTTAAAAAATATTTTTATAATAAAAACGAATTAATTGAATAATTGATTAAAATGGTAAATACAATTAAAAATAAAATTTAAAAAATTAAGGTATAATAAGAAAACTTCTAAATAAATATACTTTTTGCAAAATGTTATTAAAAATTATTTTAAATTTTTGAAAAATGTTATTAAAATGAATTAATTTTCAAATCTAAATTTAAATTTAAAAACAGTCCTATTAAATTTTTTTATTTTTTTTTCAGCTTGATTCTTTTTTTTTGGTAAACAGCTTGACTTCTTTTTATTTTCACTAGATTGGTTTGGTTTTAGATACTACTAACTACGAGTCTACGACTATGATTTGTTTAAGGCACAGTTTGGCTATGTTTGAAATGTTTTGAAATTATAAAGTATAACGTGCATTATGCATAAAATTTTAAATTCATATAAGTTTAAAAAATATAAAAAAATATAAAATCTAAAATCTAAAATTATAGAAAAAAATACATAGTTAAGTTTAAAAAACGAAGTTAAATTTTAAAAGAAGATATATCAATAATAACATGTGTTATTCTGAAAGGAATAATAAATTAAAAAATTAAGTCACTTTCAATAAAGTGTACTATAATATAATATAATAAAATGCTTATTTAAGATTAATTAGGTATATTAATTTAAGTCATTTTATAGTTAGTATTAAACACCTACTTTTAGTTAAAATCTGTTTTTAATATCGGTGTAAATGAGATAGGATAGGCTGGACTTTGGGTTAATTAGGTCAGATTTGTGTAAAATATTTTAAGTTTGATATGATCTGTTAACCTTATGTAAGCTCAAATTATAAATTTGACTTAATCTATATTTAAAAAATAAAAATATTGGTCTAGACATGTTAGCACTTAGGCCTATTAAAAAAATAACTAAAATAATACTACATTATTTATTTAAATTATTAAAATAATAATGTTATTTATTTTATTTAAAATAAATAGTATGATATCAACCGACTTGAAGGCTTATAGGTCCGACATGTAAAAGAAAGTCTATGACTTGCTTTTTAAATATATATTTTTTTTTAAGTCTGAGCCTCTTCTATTTGACTATATATAATAGACCGAGTCTGGCCTGATGTAGGCTGAGTTGTAGGCCTCTGTTAGGCCCGCTGACCTATTTACACCCCTAGTTTCAAATGAAGTCTAATTTAATTTATTTTTGAATTTAATTAAATTTAAAAAATCTCAACACATTTATTATATATTAAATAAATAAATAATTCTCAGAATATAATTTGTCCAATAATCATATGTAATGAAGGATTGAAAAAGGGATAACGAATTTTGCATCATGAGGGATAGCTGATGGAGTCAATCTTATAGGGTAGTTGGGTAGTTGGCTTGGTCTTTGTTCCAAAACCTCGTTTCGTCGAAGATTATCAACTTGATTGCTGGAATCGTTCACTCATCCCCTGACAATGGGAGGACTGAGTCATTTGGGACCTCACAAACGGTGAAGGTTTCTTAATGAATTCGGCCTATCGTCTTATAAACCAAGAAGCAATACAGCCTCAGCCTACTAACTCGTATTTGACATGAAATTGGAGGCGTCCTTAGAGGATTATAATGTTCCTATGATTTCTCTTTGAAAACAATCTAATGACAAATGCTGAATGTGTTGTTACATATCTGACATGTTATTTTGCCCTAGATGCTACTACCTAGTCAAAGATTGCATCCACACATTCAAAAATTGCTTTGTATAAAAGACATTTGGTGTATGGTAGGGGTGAAAATGAATCATAAGCCATACTTTAAGCCTATGTAAAAATTTTAGAGTTTACACTGGCCTAGTAGCCTATTAAAAACTTGGTTTATGGGTCTGACCTGACTTAGTGTAAAAAATTTAAAAAAAGCATAAAACGGCCTAACTTTTAGACCTGCGAAGTTTTAAACCAAACTGAAATAAAAAAGAAATCAAATTTCTCATTCATTAAATTGTGTTTCTAGCAAGAGTTCAAATAATAAAATTTCTCAAAAAGATTTTGAAAAAAATAAAAAATAATTCTTATATAATATTAAGAACAACACATGAAATAGTTATTTTTGGAAATTTTTCTTTGCACTTGGCATCCTTCACAATCTTTTGATGAGTCTTCTTTTCTTCCTCATCCTGGGTTGACATTCCAAATTGATCTACCTGGGTACATCCTACCCAGGTATATCGATTTAGTGTACCCAGGTAGATTAGCTTAGAATGCCAATCTAGCTTCTGTTCCACGAATTTTGGCATCCAGAACAGTGTGCACAAGCATGTACTCATATAACATGACTTAGGGAGGGGGTTAATTGAATGCATAGGGGATATGGAGAGCACGGAGTGCATAACGGTATGCAAGTAGTTGGTTTCAACATACCAAGTTTCATTTGGGTCAAACAATGACCTAAATTTGGGCCAATTGACATAATCTAACCCATTTGGACTTGGGTATGAGGTTTGCTCATTCTCAACTACACATCAGTCATTTGATTAACCTTAAGTGGCTAGATTGTCATTGATGCACAAATGTAAATGCTAAACATATGCCAAATCGTCATTTTATTAATAAGAAGGACTTGTGGAATACACTCCCAAGTACAAAATAAGCCATACATACAAGAAGATCCAAATAACTGTCCATCCAAAAAACCCTGAATACATCCAAAAAAGCCCTAAATACATACAAAAAAGGATAAATACATCCCTAATGGCTGGTATCTGACTGCGTCTCCTTCTCCTCCTCGTCCTAGTTGTCGTCTTCCTCCTCATCCTCTTCCTCCTCAACAGTAGATTCAACAGCAGCAACAGGCTTTTCCATAGTGCAGGCACCCTGTCTGTAGTGAGCCTCCAAGCTTGTCACCCTGTTGTCCATTTGAGTTTGTCACTTGCGTGTGCTTTATCTAAAGCCCCTAAACTGAATGGTCAAGGTGTCAAGGCCACATGTCAAGTTATACATGGATACCATGACATGATCAACTATCAGTCCACCCTTAGGAGTTGTCCATCCACCATTAAGATATGGAGGAGGTGGTGGTGGCCAGAGGCGGGCGGGACGTGCAGGTGCATCAGCAGTTGCACCAGTATCATCGTCATCATCATCATTATCAAGGCTTGCAACCACAACAAGAATATTAAGTATTAAACATCCCAAGCATCACTTGCAGCTGCATCCTCCACCTCATCATAGTGGTGAAGGGGGACTTTAGGTGGTTCAAGTGCTTTCTTCCAGTACCAAGCACTCGCGCGACTCTGCATAATCCCACACTGCTTAAGTAGATACTCACCAAATATGGCATTACATCCTGTGGTAATCTTCAGCGTCCCAGTTTGCATAGGCACACCAAACCTATGCAAAATCTTCTGCATAAGGAATGCAAAGGGCAGTTCAGCCTTCCTAGACTTCAAAGCCTTCCACATCATGATACATATGTAGTTCCTCCAGTTCACCATAATATGGTGAAGGATGGCCCACAAAACAACAAAGTCACCCTCCAGCACCTTCGAGTGGTTATGCCCGCGCTGAAAAATAATGTGTCACAACGTAGTGTGATATGTGGGCAGGCACTGAAAGATTGCTCATAGGATAATAAGCAAAATGACCAGCCTCTGCATCAGCCCTCCTCGTCTCTGCGACAATCGCCTCCGGATCATAACCACAAAAAATATGATGGGAATCTCCATCATACATGGCTGCATTTGGTATATGATCGAAGTCAAAGCCGAGGAGCTCCATCCAGATAGGGGTAATTAGGAAAATATCAATCTCACAGATGCGAGAAGTCAGCTCACCATGTAGGTAGTGGAGGTTCTGGTAGAAAGCCCTCACCATAACCTCCAAAGATGGGCACTTCATCTCTGCAAGCATCGGGAGATGTGTCGCATCAAGAAGTGGCACAATGTATGTTGAAGAACGCGAATCCAGTAATTTCGGCTCACATATTTTGCGAGTCATGAAGGACTTCACAAACCTATCGTGTGCTGCAATGTCATTCTCAAATAAATAGCCAAAAGGCATGTCAGAAGCCTCATGAACAGCAGCCTTTGGCTGAGAGGATGAGGACTGATAACTCTCCAAAAGAGAGTTGTTTTGGGATTAAATGTGATGTTTTGGTGCTATGATTACATATAATTATCTTGATTTTATATGATTAATGCATGAATTCTATGATTTCATGATTTAATTGATAATTATGTTAATTATGTGTATTTGGATATAAATGAGCATTGGAAACATTTAAATACACTTGTTATTTTACTGCAGGTCAATGTTGTAGCATCGGAAAGCAGTGCTGTAGCAGTGCAGATGAGGTCAACAATGCATCATCACCAACAAGCTATGGATCCAAGCCCAATTAGCTAGAAGAAGTTTCTGAACGTGTAATCAGAGTCCTGAGCTGGCTACGCGCTTTAAAACATTCAAAGGATCACCATTAAAGCTTCATTAAATCAGCGATTACATTTCCAAATTCAGACCTGAAACATGAAATGGAAAGAATCTGATGAGATATGCAGCAGCATTATGCGCTGTCCCTGATCAGTGCTGCAGCAAATAAGGAAAGAATCTCCAATCAGCGCTGCAGCAAAACACAGCTGTATCTTCAATCATAGTTGCAGCAAATAAGGAAAGAATCTTCAATCAAGCGCTGCACCAAAACACATCTGTATCTTCAATCATAGCTGCAGCAAATAAGGAAAGAATGCTCTATCAGCAATACAGCAAAACAGAGTGTCATCCTTATCAACTCACACGACAGATTTGAATGAAGATTTACATGGGCCTGAAGAGCTGTTTGAGGCCCAGAATATCAAGTATATAAAGGAACAAACCCTACACACAGAAAAGAAGGCTAGAAACGCTACACATGCTTTAGACATTCAATCAGATCCTAGAGAGAAAGCAGGGGAAACACATAGAGAGAATTTGAGGGTTCGTCGAGAGAAATCCAAGGAATCAAAGGGTGAGGCTAGGGTTTGGTAGAGAGATCATCTATTTCGGTGGATCCCTGCACTATTCCGGCGGCTGAAGCAAGGATGGTGGTGGTGGAGCCTACGACAGCTGCGAGAGCAGTGCTACAACAACGTCCTTATTTTCTTTACTTTAGTTTAATGGAATCTTATTCTTTCTTTGTTGTTTCTTCCCACCCAAGTATGAGCTAAATTGTTAAGATTGGGTGATAGAGCACCCTTATTGTAATGTAGTCAGTATTGCTTTAACTTTGTTACATGATTTTCATTTCAGCTGCTTAATAAAGTGCTTATTTTTATTCTTGTTGACTTATCGAGAGAAAGCTGCAAGATAATTAGGGTTTGGACTATAGAGATATAGGTGAACCCAGAAAGTTATTAAGCATTGTGGTTTAACTAATTTAATTAGTTAATTGTGGGTAGAGAGATCATTCACACCACAAAATCAAATGGAACTTACACTTAATGATTCATAACTATGTTGGCCATAGAGATGTGGGACTTAGTATACATGTAGAGTTGGTGAGAGCCCTTGCATGCATTAGTGTTCTGGTTACTGAATGGATAATTGTTGTAGCATGGTTACTGCATTCTGGTGAAGTTGCAATAATGGGGAAATTGATCCCAATCTATCTTTAATACTTGGAAAACCTATTTTATTACTGCATTCTTTTAGTTAATTATTAGTTTTATTGTTTAATTAGTCATTAACCTCTTCCAAATTATCTTTGTTACCTTGATTGCTTCACATTGTTCCTAACTTCATAGTTTTCTTCGTGGGAACGATATCTGGACTCACACATCCACTTTATTACTTGTTGACACGTGCACTTGCGTAATGTGTGATTGATAAAGGGGTACACAATTGCACAACAAGTTTTTGGCGCCGTTGCCGGGGAAAACTTATAAAGTTAGTTTCTTTGTGAAGTGATACTTGATCCTTTTTCTTTCTGTTTTCAGGTTTTGCAGGTAATACATGAACAATCTCCCTCTCTAAACAGAAGTATACTTTGATCCAACAATTAAAGGAACACTTCAAGTTAGGAAGAGGCAGCAGTGACAGAACATTGCTACAGCATTACCTGACATGTCAGAAAGAATAACAGGATTTGTTGTTGATGGACGAGGTCTAAACCAGGACGAAATCTCAATCAGGGCACATGGAATGCTAGCACTTAACCATCTTCATTCTTCCATTGTGCAACCTGATGTTGCAACAAACAATTTTGAGTTTAGACCAGTGATGTTTGACATGCTGCAAATTATTGACGAGTTCAATTGGTTTCCAAGTGAAGACCCACATCTACACTTGAAAAACTTCATGGACGTGGCAGACAGCTTTAAGATGCAAGGAGTTACATCTGATGCACTGAGACTGAACCTGTTTCCTTATTCTCTCTCCAATGGAGCTAAGACATGGCTTAACACTCTACCACCTAATTCAATCAGAAGATGGGAGGACCTTGCTGAAAAGTTTTTGATCAAATTCTTTCCTCCCACCAAGGCAGCTCAATTGAGGAATGATATAGCAATGTTCCAGCAATTTGATGGAGAATCACTATATGAAAGCTGGGACAGATTCAAGGAATTGCTATGGAGATGCCCCAATCATGGCATACCTGAATGGATCCAGATGGAAACTTTCTACTATGGGTTGAGTGGAAAAACTATAGATATAGTAGATGCATTATCTGGAGGAGCTCTCTTGGACAAGACTTACACTGGAGCATATGATATCCTAGAGAGGATGGCATACAACAATTACCACCGGCCAGCAGAGAGGTCAATTGTACTGAATGAAGCTGCAGGATTGCTGGAGCTCGATGCTATATCTTCATTAGCAACATATATATCCTATCTGAATAAGTCAATAGAGACTCTCAATCTTACTGCTGATGCTAGAGCACAACAATCACATTCAATTTATAATGTTGTAACATGTGTTTTCTGTAATGGCCCACATGTTTATGATGATTGTCCCCAAAATCCTCAATCTCTCTGTTTTGTAGGAAATTATAACATGAATGATTCATATTCAAACACCTACAACCCAAATTGGTGGAATCATCCAAATTTTTCCTATTTTGAAGGGCAACAGCAAGGGTCAGCGGATGCTACAGCACTGCAAGATCACAGACCACCTTTCCAGCAGCAACATCAGCAGCAACAGCAACAACATTACCAGCAGCCTGAACAGCAAGCTGAAACCTCTGATGCGCTGGAGAGTATGCTGAAAGACTTTATGGCAAGAAGTGATGCTCTTATCAAGACCAAACTGCATCAATCAAGAACTTGGAAAATCAAATGGATCAGTTAGTAGAAGCTGTGAGAGGTATATCATATGAAACACTGCCCAACAACATTGAAGATTCAAGAAGCATTGGATATGAGCAAATCAAAGTTGTAGCATTAAAGAATGAGAAGGGAGTAGATAGACCAGAGGCCATAGAGAACTACCACAAGCTGAAGGAGGAAGTTGAAATTCAGAAGGAAGGAGACAAGGTTGCTGTGGAAGATGAATTAAAAGAACAACCTGTTGCACCTGAAGTTGCTACCACAGAACAGAAAGCTACAGCAAAGCAACAACACTGTCAGCCAACCAACAACATAATTAGACCACCACCTCCCTTCCTTCAAAGACTTCAGAAACAACAAGATGATGTGCAAGAGAGTAGCATCTTATGTGATATTGAGGCTAATGCGAATTTGATGCCCATGAATCTACTAGAAAAGATGGGAATAAATAGCATAAGGTCTACAAAGATGACTTTGCAAGTGCATAGTCAAGTCATGAAAATATCTGTTGATGTTGTTGAAAATGTGATGATAGGAAACTTTGCACACCCAATAGATTTTGCGGTCCTTGACATGAAGAAGGACCCAATTATTTCTCAATATCTTGAAGAGTCATGCCTTGATACCCCAAAGGTTGTGGAAGATATGTGGAAGAGTGAGATGATTCTTGAAATAGATAGAGACCAAGCTAAGGACAATCCCAAAGTCAAGATGAAGGAGGAGACTACATGCGAGAAAAGTTTGACCAAGGATTCAAAGTTGTTCTTCTTCCTTTGTTTCAAGCCACCTTTTCAATCATAGTCAGGCTGAAGACTATAAAACAAGCGCTTTTGGGAGGCAGCCCAAATCAATTAGGATATTTCTATACTTTTCTTTAGCTTTATTGCATTTAATTTCTGAATTTCAATTTTTAGATTATGCAAATAGATTCTACACTAATTATTTTGATGCAGGTGAAATTTATGGGTAATTAAGGTTCCACTGCTGCAGCATTGCTACAACACTGCTACATCATAGCCGCGACAGAAGGAATAAGGTGCTAAGAGGAAGAAAATCAAGTTTAATTATTAAATGAAATCCTGAAAGAAGTCAGCAAAATGCTGAGTTTGGAGTCCCCCAAAGCATTTTAACAAGAACCTTGTTCAAGAAATTGAGTTTGGAGTCCCAAAAACAAAGGGACTCCACCATTCTGAAAATTCAATGATAACCCAGGTTGTCTCGTTTCTTTCTTGTCTATATCTTTTTGTACCTACTGGAAAATATTAGCAAGGAATCTGTATGATATGTAGGTTTAATTTTTTGTTTTATTTTAGTTTGTTTCTATTTCAAATAAAAGAAGTTAGGCAAACCATGAAAAGAAAATAAGGGACTCAAGAAACAAACTCAGTACTGATGCTGAGTTAAAAATGCTGAATGGTTTAGCATAAAATCAATAAGGAAATGTTGTATCTTTGCCTATTCTGTTATAATCTGCATCGCTGCAGGATTGCTACAGCACTGTGTAAGAATGAAAGTCAGTGGTTAAAGCCAAAGTCTAAATGAAAACCCAAGTAAGACTTGAAGAGCAGAACCAACACAGGGTAAAAGGCCAATGGATGAACCATTCAAGCACAAGGAGCAATTCAAGGCAAGGGAAATCGAGGAATGAATTGCGGAAGAGGGTTTAGGGTTCAACAATTTGTTGGGTTTGAATCCCATCTCATGAGACAGATTTGAAGGCTATAAGGGTGAAAGAAGCCAAGCAACAAAGTGCCAATGCACAAAGAATTCTTCCTCAAGAAAATAGAGTCAAAAGAAAAAGAAAAGAGGGGAAACCCCAAAAAAAAAATAGACTAAGTGCAAAAGCACTAGACAAAAGAGGAAGGCAAAGCTAAAAATGCAAGGTGGACACTCGTTCCTTCAAATCTTGTGCACACGGATGTGGATTCAATCCTGACAGAGCATGAATCAAGCAACTAGACCTGATGATTTTTAGTTTGAAGTTCCAAGATGGATCAACCTGAGAAGCAAGCTCCTAACACACACACACTGAATCATCCAAAAGCTATGAATCCCTGGGAAGATGAAGCCAACAAGGAATACTGAAGTTAAAGTAAGGATGATGGCTGAAGATCAACAATCAACTGCACAATGCTGTAGCAATGATGCTGCAATCTGGAGAATCTCAACAATTGTCTTTGATACAGAGGTTACTGAGTTGGCGAATGTTAAACCTGAGGAGTGTTTTTGTTGCTCGAGGACAAGCAACGTTTTGAGTTTGGAGTGTGATAACTCTCCAAAAAAGAGTTATTTTGGGCTTAAATGTGATGTTTTGGTGCTATGATTACATATAATTCTCTTGATTTTATATGATTAATGCATGAATTCTATGATTTCATGATTTAATTGAGAATTATGTTAATTATGTGTATTTGGATATAAATGAGCATTGGAAACATTTAAATACACTTGTTATTTTACTGCAGGTCAATGCTGTAGCATCGGAAAGCAGTAGCAGTGCAGATGAGGTCAACAATGTATCATCACCAGCAAGCTATGGATCCAAGCTCAATTATCTAGAAGAAGTTTCTGAACGTGTAATCAGAGTCCTGAGCTGGCTATGCACTTTAAAACATTCAAAGGATCACCATTAAAGCTTCATTAAATCAGCGATTACATTTCCAAATTCAGACCTGAAACACGAAATGGAAAGAATCTGATGAGATATGCAGCAGGATTATGCGCTGTCCCTGATCAGCGCTGCAGCAAATAAGGAGAGAATCTCCAATCAGCGCTGCAACAAAACATAGCTGTATCTTCAATCATAGCTGCAGAAAATAAGGAAAGAATCTTCAATCAAGCGCTGCAGCAAAACACAGCTGTATCTTCAATCATAGCTGCAGCAAATAAGGAAAGAATGCTCTGTCAGCATTACAGCAAAACAGAGTGTCATCCTTATCCACTCACACGACAGATTTGAATGAAGATTTGCATGGACCTGAAGAGCTGTTTGAGGCCCAGAATATCAAGTATATAAAGGAACGAACCCTACACACAGAAAAGAAGGCTAGAAACGCTACACATGCTTTAGACATTCAATCAGATCCTAGAGAGAAAGTGGGGGAAACACATAGAGAGAATTTGAGGGTTCGTTGAGAGAACTCCAAGGAATCAAAGGGTGAGGCTAGGGTTTGTTAGAGAGATCATCAATTCTGGTGGATCCCTGCACTATTCCAGCGGCTGAAGCAAGGATGGTGGTGGTGGAGCCTACGGCAGCTGCAAGAGCAGTGCTACAACAACGTCCCTATTTTCTTTACTTTAGTTTAATGGAATCTTATTCTTTCTTTGTTGTTTCTTCTCACCCAAGTATAAGCTAAATTGTTAAGATTGGGTGATAGAGCACCCTTATTGTAATGTAGTCAATATTGCTTTAACTTTGTTAAATGATTTTCCTTTCAGTTGCTTAATAAAGTGCTTATTTTTAATCTTGTTGACTTATCGAGAGAGAGCTGCAAGATAATTAGGGTTTGGACTATAGAGATATAGGTGAACTCAGAAAGTTATTAAGCATTGTGGTTTAACTAATTTAATTAGTTAATTGTGGGTAGAGAGATCATTCACACCACAAAATCAAATGGAACTTGCACTTATTGATTCATAACTATGTTGGCCATAGAGATGTGGGACTTAGTATACATGTAGAGTTGGTGAGAGCCCTTGCATGCATTAGTGTTCTGGTTACTGAATGGATAATTGCTGTAGCATGGTTACTGCATTCTGGTGAAGTTGCAATAATGGGGAAATTGATCCCAATCTATCTTTAATACTTGGAAAACCTATTTTATTACTGCATTCTTTTAGTTAATTATTAGTTTTATTGTTTAATTAGTCATTAACCTCTTCCAAATTATCTTTGTTATCTTGATTGCTTCACATTGATCCCAACTTTATAGTTTTCTTCGTGGGAACGATATCTGGACTCACACATCCACTTTATTACTTGTTGACATGTGCACTTGTGTAATGTGTGATTGATAAAGGGGTACACAATTGCACAACAAGGACCAATCATGTCGGCGCTTGGTCCTCTGCTTGGTAGCCACCCCTTTCTTCAAACCACATCTTCCAGCTATTTTTTTACAATGTCAAACTGAAAAAACAAAAAATGCACCTATATTAATACCAATCCAAATATAATTAACACTTAAAGATCAAATATCACTTCTTGGACACAAAAATCAAAGTAACTCTCAAGAATCATAAACTAAATTAGTAAACAGTCTGGGCATTAGCTACCGAGCGAAATATAATCAACGATTAAACGATATTTGGGCAGTTGAAAGATACCCACAAATGAAAATCAGAATTTAGGTTAGGGTTCATAAAAAATTAAAACCTAAAAAAAAATACCTTTTTTCGTTTTCAATCGGTTGAAGTCAAAAACGGTGGTGGACGAAGGATGATCATATAGGAAGAAACTTGTCGAACCAGTGTGGTGAAGGAATCAATGATTTTTCCCTTTTCGCAGCTCTACTCGGGTATTCTTTGATGTTTTGCAAATATGGAGGCTGGTGGGTTTTAAAAAAACCCTACTCGCGGAATATACCCGGGTATCCCCCTCCTTACCTGGGTATATAATTCAAATTTTTGCCCAGATTATGAACACTACCTGGGTAGCCCACTTCTATGCTCGGGTAGTTTTTTTTTTTTCGGAAGGATACTCGGGTATCCCCCTATGTACCCAGGTATTTTAAGGGTCAACGGTCAAGTAGGGATAGATAAATAATATGTTTTGATGGAAGGACGAAATGATAATATTTTATTAATTGAAGGATACAGTGGTCAAAAAGCCCTAGCATTTCAAAACATTTTAAAAAAAATTCCATTTGTAGATGCGGCAAAGTACCATGCGCGTTTCGAGCTTATGAGACACGCATACATATGGTGCACGTATTGACACGTCACCCACATTCGCGTTTAGGTTTTCTGCATTACTAGGTAAATAATTTGATCAAACATTTTGGGAAACACACTTCAAAGGTAAAAAAGCCTATATATAAAGAAGAGGCCTTAGTAGCAGAAGAAAGTACATTCAGGACCAGTCAAGCCTGGTCACATGGAGATCAACATAAAATGGCATTCCCTTGGGTGAAGCTCAATACTAAGTATTAACGTTGCAAATTCACTGGGAATAAAGGCTACAAAGTACAAACGAGTTATCATATACAAAAAGTTATTCATTGCCCAGCTATAATCACGATGCTTATTAGATAGGGTAGCATGGATGAAAAAGCAATAGGAGAGGACAGACTTGCGAATTATATACTTGACATAAAAGACAATAAGTGATATATAACGAATTCATAAACATGCCTGCTCCACTTTCTACGAAGATTTTTTTTTTATCTGAGAATCACAAAAGGAATATAGTGGGAAAATGACTTTTCCGGAAATGTTACAAAAAAGTTGTTTGGTAGGCCAAAATATTTCCAGAAATATTAGGTCAATTTTTCTGATGCTGTGTTTGGTTGAATGTAAAACATTACTGAAAATATGTGATGATTTCACAAAATTAACCTTCCCAATCTTTATGATTTTGTAATAATGCCTTTGTTGTTGAGAAGAAACAAGACGCCAAACGTAAAAGGGAAAGGCACCTTCTTCAAATACTTTTGCATCACTTCCTTTCAGAAACATTTCTACTGTGACCGTGATTCCTCTGTGGAGGAGGACGAGAGGTTGAGAACATCTTCCACGCGTTTGAGGAGCTCGCCCAGGGTGGAAGATAGATGAGTTTTGGTTATGGTTCTGGGTGGATAGAGGTGTTGGACCAGCTCCATGGATTGGTCGATGAAAGGGAGCCTGTCGTCGGCAACAAAGTTGGGTGGCAGGGGTGATAAAAATTGATTTAACAGAAAGCTTCTCTCAACCTCAACGAAGAGCTAAGGGTATTTTTGTCCCAAAATTTTTGATGCATTTTCCCACCGTGTGGGATTTCAAGAATACCATTATCTGGGTGGTATTTTTTGGTTGATTTTGCTTACAATTTTTACACATCAAATGGAATCCCGGACAAATAACTTTTTCGGAAAAATTTTCTCCAATGTGTCACCAAATATGGGATTCTAAGAAACTCACCTTCATTTTTTCAAGTATCTAAAAATAATCCTCTTACCAATCACCCCCATAGGACTTAGGAGATCTCTCATCGGTCAAGTAGACCCCGCGCGTAGTTTCGGTTTTCTAATTCCTCTTTAATTTTGTTTTCCTCGGCTTCAGCCCTTCCTTCCAAGAAAAAAAAACTTTTAACATTACCTAGAAAAAAAAATCTGAGTAGTTGTGAAAAAAAAATCATCAAATTGATGTAATTATTTACAACAAAAGAATAATATATAATTAAATTAGCAACATTTGCAGATAAATATGCAGTCTATATTTATAGGATTTTATTAATCTCATGTTAAAGAAGATAAGTTATCTCATATTATAGAGATAAACTTGTGGGCTCTACCACCTAAAAAATAAAAAATAAAAGAAAAGAAAAAAATGACACAGTTATCAAAGGATGTGTGGGAAGAATAATCTATCTCATGTAGGATTTGCACAACTTTGATTAGAAAGTTACAAGTTTTAGGTTAAGTGATACTATCATTTGTTACTTTTTGAAATTATTCCTTTGAGCATGTGAGTTTTTTGTTTTACGCTCTATTTTTAGTTTTTCCTCTAAAAAAAACCTCTTTAAAAGAAGAAGAGGAAGAAGCATGAGCTATGGTCGTGACAGTGGTTATTGGGATGAGATGATAATTGACATCTTGATATTAAATAATAGTAGCTCAGTTGACGTCAGAGAATTAAGCAGGTGGAAATAAAAGTATGTCTTCTATAGTATTATCTTTGGAAGAAATTTAAAGTCTTACTCAGGAAACCCGCTTCTTCGAATTAGACTAGTTACGAAATGATAAACTGATTGAAATATTTCAAAAAAAAATAAAAAATTGACATCTTGCCGAAGTACTTTGATCGTAGAACGGACACTCGATCATGTAAGTCCAAATTGCTAAACATTTCAAAGGTTGCATTGCAGATTGGTATCAGCAATTTGGAGATTAAATTTTCGTATCATCAGACCTGAAAATTGTTTGATGGCGATCTAAAGATGAGTGCGCTATGACGGTGGCACTTATATTATGACGTAGATCACCCACACATAAGTTATAATGGTACGTACACGACAAATAATATTCATAAGGATGCAATGATCCAACAGACAAAGTTGGACAAAATTATTAGAGAATAATATATAGAAAAAATATTTGTTATTTTAAATGATATAATTTTATATATTTTTAATAAAACTAAATATTAGCTTCTAAAACTCGTTTGTTTAAAAGAAAAAACTAACTGATCCGATAACTCTGTTCATGGTTTCACTGCCCTCAAATTGACAAAAATGAAGTACTACATTTTAATTTTGTTCTATTCTTATAGGGTTAAATGAATGTAATCTTACGTGAAAACAAAAAGTTGTCCCGCTGGTAAATCGATTTCCGTGCTTTTTACTTTATTTTTTATTTTTTATTACAAATATGTGGGTCCATGATTGTTTTGTGTCAATGGGAAAAAAATGTTTTTTTCCCTATTAGATGATGCTAGCTTAATCCATTCTTATACTAACAAAACTGCACCCTAAAAAATTCTTACTTTTAAGTCAAAATTCGAAATTAGTCATTCAACAAGTACGATAACATGATCTGGTCCATCTACTATTATCTTGCAAGACAAGACAAAGCACTGGTTTCTCTTAGAATTAGACAATCATAATGCCATAATATAACATTTTTTAAAACATGAATTCTATTGTAGCCCTAATGTTAGTCCTAGTTAGAAGCAGAAATATAACATATTAATATTTTTTTCTTTAAAAAAATCTTCCATAGATATACCTAATTATATAACTGCTACATTGAGTGAATTAAACTGAACTTAGCAACACAAAGTTTACGCGCGACTAATTGTATCTGATATATAAAACAAAAATACTCAAGATGCATGAATATCAGTATAATTTTCCGAATTAATATTTTCCCATCATGTTTAAAAAAAAAAATATTCCACCTTATGTGAAAGTTTTTTTATGGATCTAACAAAAAAAAAACGTGTTGATTCAGCACTTGCACTTGCAAGAATCTCTCTTGAATCCAGATCAAAAACCCAAGCTCAATACTATTGCCAACTAAGCAACATGACAAAGCGGGAGGTACCATAGAAACCTTCATAAAACAATATTAAAAGTTTATATATATCAAACATTCAAACTAATAACATCAAGTTAGTAAATAAATGGCTTCAAACTTTCACTAAATAAATACCCCTTATTTTAGTCAAGTGAGGACAACAAAAGCAATGTAGTTTCTAGAACTAGAAGTGAACGTATTTTAAATAAACCTCAAGGAAAAAAATAATATAATAAGCATTGTTAGGAAAATAGGCTTCCATTGGTTAATAACTTCTAACTTTAAAACAGCACATCAATAGAAAGATATTATGACAACCTAAACCTGTCCTAAGACTTAAAGCAGAAAGTGCTTTTGGATGTTCAACAACAATTTAAACAACGCCTCTTATATTGTGCATCTGTCATTGACATTTCTCATTGACATTTCCCTCCTTCCATTTAGGCATTTTTGGAATTTTCTAAGTCATCAACCACATGAGTGGAACTACTAAATTTCTGAAACTAGTTTATGTAGTTAGCTTACTTGATTTCTCTTCGCGCTGTTGGATTTTGAGTCAATTCGAACCGTCTTTGCCGAGAAACAATGGCGCACACGGATTTTCTGACTGATAGTTTGGACGGAGGAGCTGCCTTGGACATGAACAACCAAAATCACTTCCTTATCTCGGGTGTCTTCACTCCACCAGTTCTGTGGTATGCCATCTACAGATTCTTCAGAGGTATGAAGGTCTTCATGACGTATTGAAACCTCTACACTTTGCTCGGGTTTAACTATGCCGGCAGCTGGATTGACCTAATTTAAAGACATTTTAGAAAAGGCATGATTGTCAATTGGTAAACTCCCTCGCTATAAGAAAAATCCCTCGACTTATGCTCACTCCCTCCCACTTTCAACAGACATATCAAACTTAAAAGCGGAGAAAAGGAAAAAAGAAAAAAAGAGTTACCTAGAAATTCATATGATATATCTCCAAGAACATGGCATATTTCAAGGCAAAAACTAGTAAACTTTATTTCAACAAATACAAACGTGGGCCTATAATAAAGCTGTATTTAAATCCAACTGTCAAATTAAATCGAACAACTAAATGATTTATACTATCCTAAATGGGGGAAATGAAAACAAATTTGAAGATCAATAATTCAATGAGCACAATCTGGTTCAGATAATTAAGAAGTAATATAACAATATTTAATCAAATGAAATTAAAAAAAGTCTTCATTTTATGATGTGCTCAATATGATCTTGGTAATAAATTAATTCAATCTGCTGACTGACTTCAATTCTTTCTTAGAAATTGAATTTAAAAATAAGAGAAAGTATAGTGTAACAAAGTATTATTATTTAGTTTATAAATGAATCTTTTAATCCCTTATATAAATTATAAATTAATATTAAAATACGGATAAATAATATTTATTTGTAAAATTTTACAATGAATAAATGAAGGAAATTTTAGAGACTTTGCTAAGAAATGTGAAGCAAAGTTAATTTAGTTTTTCTATTGGAAGGTGACTCACGACAAGGGGCATGGGACAACATGGAGGCCTTCCATAATATCACAGAAGTCACACTCTAGAAAAATGTATTCTAAATTTTAGTCACCGAAATCTGCAACAGTACTCAGCTTGATGATTAAGGAAGGACAAGCGTAAGATCCATCAAACAAGACACTAAATTCACAAAATGAAAAAACTACTCTGCAATTTTGACAAATGGGTCATTTTCTTTTCCACTTACAGAAAATGCATCCTAATTTATGTTACCAATCAAGTATTCTGTAGAGTTCAGGTTGACAATTATAATATAAAACTGTTCAGACATTAAATTATGCGTTAGTAATAGTTTTGATGTAAGCATGATCTGTTTCGAAAATTGTCGACTTCAATTTAAAAGAATAAGAGATGTCATTGCCACCAAAACTTTTCACATGCAGTAGGAGTAGTATTTGCATCTAACAAATATTCCCTGCCAACTGGCAAATTCAAAAATAATATGAATAATCAAGATACAATACCTCAAGCCATCTGGGAAAGCCAAAGGCACCTCTTGGGCTATAATCAGGTGCTTGACCATCATTCTTGACTATAGACTGGCCTTCACAAGTGATCTTATACACAGTCGTATCCTTCGTACTTCTGTTTGTTATAAGCAACAATGAAGTGTCCTGGTTTTGAAGGACTATATTGTTCGGGCTGACAGTGGTTTCTGGAGCATAACATAATTCTTCAAGCATGGATCTGATTTTCTCATTTGATGTCATAATTTCCCCAAACTCCTTTCTCCTTATTGATCTATCAGCATGAGAAATTTTGACATTGAATTTACACCGAACAGGTTTGTGATCACTATCAGTCACATCCATGCAAGCATCATACCTGTTAAACAGTTTCAATGATGACAAACTGTAGCCAATAGGAAAAAAAGAAAATGGAAAGCAATTATGACCCGGTAACATACTGTAAAATTGATGACACAACAGGGCAGTCTAAATTGCACTCAGAAACTGGAGCTGACCGAGTATCGCGATATATTATTCTGTCACACCAGGCAGGGATTCGCTTTTTCTCTCCCGAATCATACCCTAAAAGAATATATAGAAGTTATGACATTATCATTTTTTCTTATGCACAACACCAGCAATTGTGACCATGTAACAACCTGTTAAATACATATTTGACAGCAGACCACATTGAAACTGTCATGTTTATTGAGTTACTAATTTTTAATAAATTTGACAGTGAGGAACCAAATTGAAATCAACATCTAAGTATCTAACATATAAAACCAAAAGTACTGCTCGACCTGCCACCTATTTACCTCCTAAACCTGCTTGGTGCCTTTCAAATTTATACGTTGGAGGAAATTTGATGAGTGCCTCCCGCATTCCCTGGAAAACTTTTCCAGCTTTCATCTCCGCCCTGAGCTGATCCTTTTCTCTAAGCCAATCAAAGCACCTTTGAGAAACAAAGTCCCTGGCTTCATCATAAGATATACCAAAAAGCCGATAGTTGAAATCACCAAAAAATACCACCATATCTGCTTCAGATAACTCAGGTTTTGCTTCTTCAGAACTGACACCCATAGCCTATGACACAATGAAGGCCATGCAACTGTTATTATGATGATGATACTGTAAAGAACCAATTCAACCCAAAAGCTTAAGCTGTTGGGTGAGGTTACATTAATGGTTTTATATATCTCAACACGCCCCCTCACACGAGAGCCCACTGGGCTTGAAGGGTGGACAATGCACAAGCCCACCTACCTGTGCGAATAAAGAAATTCCAATTGAAAGAAAGTGGGGGCGGCGAGGATCGAACCCGGTACACCAAGGCTCTGATACCATGTAAAGAACCAATTCAACCCAAAAGCTTAAGCTGTTGGGTGAGGTTACATTAATGGTTTTATATATCTCAAGATGGAAATGCAACTGTTATTATGATGATGATACTGATGGAAAGTCATGGAGATAATCAAGAGCTGTAAGCATAAGACTCACATTTGTACCACGAAGCATATGAACAGCAGTAGAGACACCAGCTGTAACAGAGAGGACCAATGGCAAGCCAGAAGAGTAAAGTAGCCAAAATAAATATGTGGAGAAGGCAAGAGAGCAAGACAAGAACAGGTATGGTACCATACCAGCAGCAGTATTAAGTAGGTTCGATGATCGGCTGAAGACCATATTTCGATATATGTGATCAAAATCAGCATTTCGCCGATTAACTGCTTCCAAATGTGCAGCCAAGTGACAATTCACAAAGCACATTATCCTATCATAGACTCTGATTCTCAAACCCACTCCTCCCTGCTTGATCAATTTTGCCATGTAAGTGTTCATTTCAATGAAGAGAAAAAAAAACCAAAGTTCATAAGTGAAAAAAGTTTATCAGTGCATTCTTTTATTTTTCCTTCCCAATCTAGTGTTTGTACAAGTAACGTCAACATAAATATTGCTACAGACATCTCTAAAGTCACAATAAAAGCAGGTTAAATTTAGCCCCAAAAAGGGGGAATTTTATCTCATGCCAATTACACTTACATACCAACAAAAAAATTTAAAGCACCAGGAAGGGGTAACTTATTGTTGCAATAACAATGACTTCAGCAAAACTGCAAAGGCATTCTGTCCAGCATTGCACAATAAACAGGAAAAGAAATTTATCCTTCCAGGTCGTTTCTTCCATGATCATTCTTTTCATATGTATTTTCCCCTCTCATTGATTAATCGTGGTTAAAATTGTAATCGAGCATCCCTAGCTTTTTTTTTTTTTCCTTTGCTGACAAAACAAGTGACTTGAAAAGATATTCATACAACACCCATAAACAGCAGTCTAAAAATTGAAATAATATGTCCAACTCCTTAACCAAGATCAAGATACGGAGAAATCAGACGAGAGTAATTAGATGAAATTTCACAATTGACTTTCAAGGGTAAGCAAAAAAATATACATAGCACTAAATCAAGAAATAAAACAGTTATTACAGAGAAAAAATTTAACCGCCTGAGCCTTACCCTCTTGATCATCATTGTAACATGGGGCAGAAATCATAATGACTCCGAAATTTTGACAGAATAGTACTGCATTCTATTGGCAGAATTGAAGTACCACGTTCTTATTAAATAAGTAAACAGTGGTCAGGGAAACTGATACGAACCTTATTACCAATTGCACGTCCAAAACCACATGGGACTGCTCCAGCATCAATGTCCCCTACGTGTGTTCTAAGATTCTTTCTTACCCTAATTGAGGAACGTCAACTCATAATATAAGAATGGAAAAAATATTAAAGATTGAAATCCAAAGTACATAATAAGGAGATCTAAGATTCCTTTTCATAGAGAAAAAAAAACAGGAACAGGAGGTTTATCACATTAATTTGTTTAATCTGGAACACACTTTCATTACAATCACTCACCAAAGAGATATAAGCAAGCCAGCAAGCTGCCTAGAACCCATACGCTCAAAAGCTTTTCCTTCTTCTAAGGCCTTTCCTATTGTATCCAGCCACCACTGCCCCATTGCACTTCCTTCAAGCCCTACCTACAATTGGGATATAGGCAGTAAATGCATGGACAAAATATATACATTACACAAGACAAGCTGTTCCTGAGATTTATAAGTAGCATTATGTTATCAAATACACATGATTCTGAAATTAAAGAGAAAAGAAGAGAGAAAATAAGTGTTATTGATTAAACTTACAACAACTTAGAAGCATCGTTATTGTACAGTAGCAGTACACAATTCTATCTTTAGAGAGAATGTAAGATAAACTGATAAACAAACATAACACTGGATGAAGTTTCTTCTTTTATTTTCAACTTCAACAAACCTGTTTTTTAACTTATACTTCAGAAAAAATAATACCATAAGATATAAGTACAAGGGAAAATGCACACACACACACTAAACTTTACCCCATTACCCCATGTTAAGAACCTTGGGATACACCACACCAAAAGCTAGCTCAAGGGGTGGGAGTGCTCAAGGCCTTATAAAGGCCATATTAGTTGCCCATCCAATCAATGTGGGACTATATATTTCAACACGCCCCCTCACGCAAGAGCCCTTTAGGCTAGAAGCGTGGAAATTGCACAGGCCCATTTTTTGGTTTACCTTTTTGTGCTTTTTTTTTTATTTTAATTCCATTTTTTAAAGCAGGGGACGGTGAGGCTCTGATACCATGTTAAGAACCTTGGGATACACCACCCCAAAAGCTAGCTCAAGGGGTGGGAGTGCTCAAGGCCTTATAAAGACCATATTAGTTGCCCATCCAATCAATGTGGGACTATATATCTCAACACGGTATCAGAGCCTCACCGTCCCCCACTTTAAAGTGGAATTAAAATAAAAAGCACAAAAAGGTAAACCAAAAATTGGGCCTGTGCAATTCCACGCTTCTAGCCTAAAGGGCTCTTGCGTGAGGGACGTGTTGAGATATATAGTCCCACATTAGTTGTATGTGCAACTAATGTGGAGTTTATAAGGTCTTGGGCACTCCCACCCTTGAGCTAGCTTTTGGAGTGGTGTATCCCAAGGTTCTTAACAAAAAAGTTCTTTACACCCCATTTTAAAATGGCCACCATAAACTTTTGAATCTGGGTTAGAGCCTGAGAGGTCCTTAAACTTTTTGAAATCTGCCAACAGACCATTTTGTCGATCAACTAAACAGAAATCATTCATCACATATCTGCACGTGTTCATTAATACACATGACAGTCTTTCATTTGTCCACATCATTTACAAAATAAAAATAAAAGAATTTTTTCTTTTTAATTTAATTTATATTTTTGAAAAATAGAAAATACTGAATAACTAAATAAAATTAAGGGGGAGGTTATACTTACTATCTCTTTTTCTTACTATCTCTTTTTCTTACTATCTCTTACTACTAAATTTTAACCGTTGATTTTTGCCAATCTAAAGGTTGTAATTTATGGGATTATACTTATTAATTAATTATTAATTTCCAAGAAATTATGATCGTTAGATTAGCGGAAATCAATGGTTAAGATTTGGTAGTAAGAAGTAGTAAGAAAAATAGGTAATAAGTATCACCTTTCCCTAAAATTATAAAGTGAAAAAAATAATCTTTTTAAAATTGTGAAAATAAATAAATGTCATGAACCAACTATCTCAACAGCTAAAGCTATTAAGTGAAGGCACATGGATGGTTTTATATTACATCTTTAACACGCGCCATCACGTAAGAGCACTTTTAATTAGAAAAATGAGGGCAATAAGAATCAAACTCTACCATGTCACAAACCAACTATACCAAAAAGTTTCGGTTGTTAGGTGAAGAAATAAGAACGTAGATAAACGAGATATTGCCATGCCACATGTAATAATGTGCATGAACAAGTCACGTGATAACCGGTTTTCATTTAGCTAATGGACATAATGTTCTATTTGCAGGTTCTTAAATTTTAAGGATCATTATCCAAATTCCAAAGTAAACTTTGGCTACTTCAAAACTGGCTAAAGTTTAGGAAGTGTCTGTACATTTTTCCTTATATACAAATCTACATCATGTTTCTAATACAAAAACTTCTATCAATTTGTAACTAAGATTTAAGTGTAAGCAAAACAAGAATTTAAAAACAATAATTTAATGGTCAAATGCATAATTAAGCACATGAATAAAGTCTTACAGTTTCTTTTGCTGCAGACATTGCAAGAAAACCAGCACCCATCTCCACTTCTTGCAAACCAACCACAACAATGCCTACATCTGATACAACGGAACCCAACCATGACAGAAGTGAGTCCTGAGAAGCTCTACCTTGACCGACATTCCATGTGCCAATCAAAATTCTGACATTGTGCCGTCTTGTGTAAATAAGTTCCTTTCCGGCCAACTCTGATCTTATTATGTTGTCAACAGGACCTGGAGATGCAAAATTCCATCCCCGTATACCACCATGAGTAGCCAAGCTAAAAACATAATCATTGGCAACAGCCAATTTAATCACAGGACTATTATGAGCAAGCCATCCCGCAATTACATTGCCTTCTAGGTCCAGTATTTGGATAATACCACTCACATAGCCTACATATGTCCGTGTTCCAAAAGTGCAGAAGCATTGGACAGCACAAGGATGGCGATTAAAATCTTGCACACGCGTCCCATTCCCATCCCATTGCACAATTAAGCCATTTGTGCATCCACTCCAAATCATTCCATCGCTTGTTTGCACAAGAGCTTCCGTTCTTTTAGTATCTTCAACAAATGCTCCAGCTCCCTTGGTTGCAACTCGACGCACAGCATCTGCAGCTCCCATTATTGCATTACGTGACCGTTGTAGAAAGCTAGTACCCTGGGATTTCTCCTTTTTTGAGGAGGAAACGAACTTTACCTTCATTTCATCTTCTACTACTTGATCCTGTTGTACGGATGACATATCAACTCGATTTTCCGCCTGACCATCAATGTTAAATACTTTCAGAAGGTCCTTTGTACGGGCATCCCTATAAGAAAATCAATTCTGAAGTTATTCAAATTCTAATTTGGAGGAATGGCATATTTATGAGAGTAGAAGAAAACACTTATAGCAAAAGTTTAGGAAGTTAAAATAGAGGTTACCATAACATCATAAAGTGCGTTGATACCAAACAAGACGCAAATTAGAGCAAATTCAAGTACCATATCCGGGAATTAACCTCAAGTAATGTAATGTAATGCAATGTTAGAACAGGAAGCATACCACAGTGAAAAGGATAGAGGCCCAGCACACCAGACTCGAGCTCTAACATGATCAGACAACAAACACTTAACCTCTTGAGAAGATATACTGCAAACACCATTAACGGTGACTTGACTTCTGAGGTCAATGAATGACCTCTCAACAAGTAAAGCTGCCATATGCCTTTCTTCTGGAGACAGGGAAAGAGATTTTTCAACGGATTCCCATGGCCATATCTTAATAATACCCCCTTCGGAACCTGACCAGAGATCGCCTGGATGAATGCGAGACAGAAGTGAGAGCTGGTAAGGTGATGTAGTGAACAAAAGGTGCTATATAGGAAACGAATTAGAGAAGAGAAAAGAGAATGAAGTGAAGTACCATAGGAACTTGTGGTCATGGCAAGAACAGGACCTCTATGTGCCTGCCAAGAAAGACCTTCCTTAAAAGGGGTAGCAAAAGGTTGATCCATTTTCCAAGACCTTATCTTCCCATCCTTATGACCACTCCAGATCAACCTATTCCCATTGTCGACCACCAAACATAAGGTGGGAGAGGTATCCGCTGATTCATAAAATGGCGCAGCATCCTCGTCGCCTCTTCTCACCTTTCCACCAAGACCGCAACCTGGTTCATTAGCATTTTGAAACTCCCACACCCTCACCCCAGCTTCCTGTCCAGCCCACAACTGTGATTCGGTACAAGCAATGTTTCTGAGGAACTTCCCAACCTGAGTCTCCCTTAACGGGTGGGGCCTTAACTCAACACACGGGGGACGGCCGGGATGAACGGCCGCTCTAATGGGAGCCTTAAAGATCCCAGTTCCGCCCCCGCTGCCAATAAATTCCTGCAAAGGCTGATACTGACACAAATCATCATCACCTTCGATGTATTCATCAGCAGCAGGATTTGTAGATGAATGTGGGAAGAAGTCATCATCCGAGTCAGAGTCCTCGTAAAAAGAGTCCATGTTATTCGACATACGGCAATCGTCGAGACTGTGCTTGCGGACTTGATTGTGGCGTTTGTGTGTGGAGGTGCCTCGGAGCTGTTGGCTATACGAATGGGCTTTGCGGTGAGGTGGAAGAGAGCTCAGGCCGGCCAAGGACTCCTTGTCCGTGTCATCGTCGTCAATTCGGTCATCCATTGCTCTTGGATTGGTTTATAACTACAAAAAGAGAGAAAATGAAAATGGAATTTGCAGTTCCAGCAGAGTGAGAAAATGAAGAACGATGGAAAGGGTCTAAAGGGTTTCCCGAGAGAGAGGGAAGCACGTAAGATTGACGAGCGGGAAGTAAGGCGGGGCATACTGGAAGCTTACGGACAGGAATCGTTTCTTTTCTTTTATTAACAGATTTACCAGAGAATGGGATCATCGAATGGAATGCAGTGACGGAAGCCCAATGGGAAGGGCAGGAGAAGTTTGGTCTTATCTAAAATAGAATAGGATACTGGTAGTTATGTAGAATACTATAGTGATAAATATATATGACTCGTGTAAATTAGACTTGTGAAAAATATATGTAGGTAAACACTCACGATTATTTTTAGTAAGAGCAGTGTCAATTATATAGTGGAAAAATGTTTGTCTTTTTAAATAATATAATTTATGTCATTTTATTTTCACAAAGAGGTGAAATCTACAACTTTATTTTATTTTTTGTCCACTCTCTCTTTTTATCTATCTCTTTCTCTCACTTAAAATGAGACAACTTTATATCCTTTAAAATGATACACACTTTTCTCATTATATATATGTTTAGTCACGATTATTTTTAGTAAGAGCAGCGTCAATTATTTATATATATATATATATATATATATATATATATATATATATATATATATAGGGTTCTTTTTTCTCCAGTTACTGCAGATAAGTTATCTGCAGTAAGTCCAATACGACGTCGTTTTGCGGGGGAAATCATGGTGTTTTTGTAATTTTAATTTATTTCAAGTTATAATAGTCTTTATATTTATAATTTTTTAAGATTTCAATACCAAAACGACATCGTTTGGGAATAAATGCAGATAAGTTATCTGCATTAACTGCAGAAACATTTTTCCCATATATATATATATATATATATATATATATATATGGAAAAAATATATTTCTATAGCCACTTTAGATAAGGTTATCTGTAGTTACTCCAAAAACTACGTCGTTTTGATTAATGAAAGGTGTTTCTGTAATTTTAAGTGAATTAAGAAGTGTTTCAGTAGAATATATATGATAAATAAATAAACAAAATTATGGAAACACACATTCATTAATCAAAACGACGTAGTTTCTAAAGTGGCTGTAGAACTGTTTAACCCTAAACCCTAAACCCTTCATTAATCAAAACGACATAGTTTCTAAAATGGTTATGTCAATTTTTCATATACTGCCAGATTAGTAAGATATGTGAATGTGATCGCATCCACCACAAAAGAATACATATATTTCATATAATAAATGCCAGGCTTTTGCGAAAATCATTGTGCTTCAAGTCGTGCTTTATATCATACAACTTCATTTTTCTTATTATAGTTTTTTCATATTTGTACCCCACTGGCTTTACACCTTCACGTGTTTGGATTATAGATCCAAAAACTTTGAATTTGAGTTGCGTCTTTATATTTTGGCCAATTATTTCTTTGTTCACATTTCTTTAACATATTTAGCTTCAAAATCCTCGTCTTGTTCTATCATTTCATTTTAAAAAATGTTGTCGACAACTATATCTTTACGGTTCCAACTTTCTCTTATAATGACATAACCAATAGAGATATCTTCATTTTCATTATTTTCAGGTACCTGAACCTCCCTTGAGGTTTAATCAAAGTTATGTCTTTATGTCTTTATATTATGACCATCTTAATCATTTGCTCCTTTCCTTCATTTTTGAGAATTTTTATCCTTGGAACCGATCATTTGTTTCATGTACAATATAAATTGGAGCATGTACAGTTGTAATATTAGACTTATTGGTCAGTTAAATCATCTGAGAGTCGATGTATAATATCCTTTTGCTCATATTTGCTTTGTGCGACAATCTATGAGATAATGATAATGCATTATATATTTTCCAACTGTTTATTCTCTCCCTCTCATGTTTGAAAGACTGATAAGAATAATCCACTAAATTTCCAGTCTTTATTTCAAGATATTATATAAGGAAACTCTTATCCAATATATATTCCCAACTATATTTGGGATTCATCTTTGTGCGTTGTGGTGGAGTAATTAGAATATAATTTGCACATCAAAAATATTATTTGGCTCGTGACCATAAGCAAATGTAATTGGGAGATGATAACTTATTGGTATGATGCGTACAAGTACTGCAGCATAAAATATAGCATATTCCATGCAAAAATAGGAAGCTTTGTTCTAGGCAATGTTCTAGCAATCAATTGGAGACATTTAATAATTTTGCTAATACATAAATCACCAGCATTATGAAGACGAATTGTCCTTATTGTACTCTTAATATTATCATTTGAGCAAACAATCTCACAAATGACAAGATGTAAGTTGATAATAGACATATATGTGGCCATTTTGTAGATGCATCTATTAAATTCATAATATTTGAAAGGTCCAAATGATGGGTGAATAGGCCCATATCTTTCACCCTATATGCATTATTGGTATGATGTGTACAAGTACTGCAACATAAAATATAGCATATTTCATGCAAAAGTAGGAAGCTTTGTTCTATACTTCTATGCACTGTTCTAGCAATCAATTGGAGACATTTAATAATTCTGCTAATACATAAATCACCAGCATTATGAAGACGAATTGTCCTTATTGTGCTCTTAATATTATCATTTGAGCAAACAATCTCACAAATGACAAGATGTAAGTTGATAATAGACATATATGTGGCCATTTTGTAGATGCATCTATTAAATTCATAATATTTGAAAGGTCCAAATGATGGGTGACAGTGGCGGAGCCACGTTGGTGCCAGTAGGTGCCTTGGCACTGGCTAATTTAGCCACGTTTCTTTAGCTACGTTTGAAACGTAGCAAATCATGTTTCAAGTTTTTTGAAAATTAGCCACGTTTCGTTCGTAGCTATATAACCGTGGCACTAGCTAATTTTTTTGGCACCAGCTGAAGTGCTTTGCTTGCTCCGCCACTGATGGGTGAATAGGCCCATATCTTTCACCCTATATGCATTATTGGTATGATGCATACAAGTACTGCAGCATAAAATATAGCATATTCCATGCAAAAATAGGAAGCTTTGTTCTAGGCAATGTTCTAGCAATTAATTTGAGACATTTAATAATTCTGCTAATATATAAATCACCAGCATTATGAAGACGAATTGTCCTTATTGTGCTCTGCTTGGTCGAACCGAGAGCTGCTCGGGAATATTTCTTTCAGAGAGCAAGAGTGTAGAGTAGTAATCAGGATTGCCAACAGGAGCAATCTACTCTGACTAAGAGCAACCCTCTTCAACTATACGCAAGCGTACGTATCAAGCAATATAGGGTATTGTAGCCCCAGATTTATCGTCCTCAGGGAGCAGTTGTGAAGTAAGAAGCGCTAAAGGAAACTTAATTTGTAAAATGGAGCAATAAAAGAAATCACTATTCTCAGCTAAGCTTCACAAAGAGCAATCTCTGGGCAGCTAGTTAAACAATGTTAACCATTCTGAACCAGATGAGAGCAGTGAATGACTTAGCACGGTCATCGAATAAAAATGCATCAATTGAAGTAACTTTAAGAGCAGTCAACGAAATGAAAGTAAGAGCATCAGCTGGTAAAACATAGTTCAGTTATCGTGAGGAAAAGGTTGTCATAGGAATTGAGTTAAGATTAATTTCAGAAAGAAAAAGATCAAGTAGGTGTTACGGGTTCCATGTTTTCATCCCTTTGGTTAACCCTGCCTGGTAGCATATTTTACAAGTGGATTTTGCTCCTTCCCTTGTTTTGCTATAGGTAAGCAGAGGGTAAGGCCTTACTCTCCACGTTACTCCATAGTACTTGGAGTTATATGCAAGGAAACCATGCTGCCTTCTCAAAAGAGCATGGATTCACATGGCAGTGCTCCTCATTCCAGGTGTTTATCCCTCTTTTCTTCAGGCTAAACTACCCCAGGATTTTGAGAATGCTCCACACGCCTTTGTCAGTGTTTCATCAACCGAGTGGTCCCGGGATGAGGTTGCCGGCCCAAAGGGTTTCACAAAATCAATAAATTAAACCAAAGAGCAACTCAAAATTCATTTATAAAATATGTGTTCCTTACAAAGCTATCCTAAGACAAAAGGGATTACTTCTATGGAAGTTAGCTACTTAGAGGAAGTTAGCTCCTAGTGAGCATTTTTACAAAGAAATAAGAAAACAAAGAGACGACCAGTCCTAGGATGGGTGCTGATCCTCCCTTTATGAGGATTGCTTGTTCCTTTTATAGGGTTCTTCATTTGATCTCCATTGTTCCTTTCATCAAGGGTCGTGCTTTGTCTAAATCCTCTCCAATGGTAGCTTTGCTTCTTGCCAGCTTGGCCTTAAATGGAAGTGGTCCCCCTTGCTTTTGGCTCCCTTTGTGAGTAGGAGTATCGGATTCAGGGTGGCACCTCCACTCCTTCTGCTGTAGCTGACGTGGCGGCTCCCCATTGCTCAGCTTCTTTGCTTTCGTACTGTAGCAGAGGCAGCACCTCCACTCCTTCTGCTGTAGCTCATGTGGCAGCTCCCCATTGCTTCTTTTGACTGCTGTTGTACTGTAGCAGACTTCTTTTTCCTTTCTGCGCAACACTCCTTCTTCTCTCTTCATTTTGTGGTTCCTTTTGTTGGGCCTTAGGTGTCCTGAACAAAGCAAACTAACCCAATAGTCATATGTGAAAAAGATAATGTTAAATTTGCTCCAGGTCTACCTTAATTCCCACTTTCGGCATTGCTCTGGTCCACTATTCAAAACAGTTGCTCTAAATGAAAAGAAGAAGGTTAAATGGCGTGATTTATAACCAAAACATGGGTTTTGTGGAACAATTTGCACCTAATGGGCCTCAACTCTTGAGGACTATCAACACCCCAAAACTAGATATTACTCGTCCAGAGTAATCCTTCACAACCAACAGTCTTCTTGTGACAGGCTAATGCTCCTTGAGATTATTGATGAAGAATTAACTTAATTCCTTCCATCGCTTCATTAGAGCACTCATATGACTTGTGAGTTTCACCAGCTTCATTGTGTGTGTGAACTCTTCCACTCTTTTAGTCAGTTTCCCACAGAGTTGCTTCCGGATTGATCTTTTTGGCTTGATTTTTTTTCTCTTACTTTCTAGCTCCTTTCTCTATTTCTGTCTTTTCAGGTCTTTTAACTGGAAGTC